TTTACATTAAATTCTTTCTGTTAAAAACTACAGCAGGCCAGTGAGCCAGTGGCTCATGCCTGTAATCCTAGCTACTTAGGAGGCAGCGATCAGGAGGATCGAAGTTCAAAGCCAGCCCAGGAAAATAGTTCAAAAGACCCTGTCTTGAAAAACCCTATCACAAAAAGTTGGGCTGGTGGAGTGGAGTGGCTCAAGGTGAAGGCCCTGAGTTTAAGCCCCACTACCACCAAACAAAAAAACTACAGCAGGCCCAGCACCAGTGGCTCACATGTGTGATCCTAGCTACTCAGGAAGTAGATATCAGGTAGATCTTGGTTCAAAGCCAGCCTGGGAAATAGTTTGAGAGACACTATCTCTCAACACACACACACACACACACACACACACACACACACACACACACACAAAAGGGCTGATCGAGTGGCATAAATGGTAGAGTGCCTGCCTAGCAAGTATGCAGCCCTGAGTTCAAACTCCAGGACCACCAAAAAAAACAAAAAACTACAGACAGCTGGATGTAGTGGTACACATCTGTAATCCCAGCTACTCAGGAGGCAGCAGCAAGAGGATGTGAGTTTAAGACCTGCCCGGGCAGAGGTAGTGATGAGACCCTGTCTCAAAAACAAAAGGGCCAGAGGCATAGTTCAAGTGTCAGAGCACTTGCCTAGTATATACAAGGCCCCAGTTCAATCACCAGCACCAAAATAAAAAACAAATTTTTTTAAATTTAAAAAACTACAAACAGCCTCCAACTTAGAAAGTTTTAATTTACTTAAAAGGCTTAGTTTATGCTTTTCTTACTGGAGTTTTAGGGCAAAAGCCCAGGCTCCAGAGTGCCAACAACTATTGTCCCAATACATCAATCAAGGGCAAGTAGACTGGAAGTGTGGCTCAAGTGGTAGAGCACCTGCTTTGCAAGCACCAAGCCCTGAGTTCAAATCCCAGTACCGCCAAAAAATAAAGAAAAGCAAAGAAAGAAAGGCACCAGTGGCTCACACCTGTAATCCTGGCTACTCAGGAGAAAGAGATCAGGAGGATTGCGGTTTGAAGCCAGCTCGGGCAAACAGTTCAAGAGACCTTATCTTGAAAAAACTCATCACAAAAAAAAGGCCTGGTGGAGTGGCTAAAGGTGTAGGACATGAGTTCAAACCCCAGTAACACACACAAAAAAAGAAAAAAACGGGGAGGGAGGAAGGAAGGAAGGAAGGAAGGAAGGGCAGGTAGTGTTGAAGGGCAGATAAGACATTTAATCAACGTTGCCACATTGGACCATTAGGTAAAGAGTTTCAGCGACTCCCAAGTCTTCCAGAGGCTCACAGGAACATTGAGATTTGATAGAAAAGGGAGACAAGGTGGATGGGGTGTGCACAGCTGACAGAGCAAGTCATCTTGGTCAGGCCAGTGGCCTGTTTGATCATTATCTCAGTTCTGGTTCTGCAAGGGGTTCTTGAGACCTTGTTTTTGCTGTCATCAGTTGAGAGGAGCAACCTGGTCCCATGTGACAATTATTCCTGCTCTGTGATTCAGCCTCACCTTCCTGGGGGGTGACCTATCCTGGGTGGTTTCTGTCCCTAGTCAGAAAGATGTTTATCAATCAGTCCAGTGGAATTCAATGCAACTGCAGAAGAGAGCCACTTCGGAGGAAAAAAGGAAAAGAGGCAAAAACAGGGCCAGAGAGGGACAAGATGGAGTAAGTTAGGCCAGTGCCTAACTTCACGATGGTGGGAAAGCAATATGCATTCAATAGAAACAGGGCTTTTTTTGAATTTTGAACTTTTCCTGCCTAGTGATATTGGATATGGCCCTTGATCACGGTGGTGGGCAGGGGCAGTGAGCTGTAGGGAGCAACAAGACTGCAAGACTGAACAACCAGTCCCCTGCTGAGCTAGGATCTGCAGTAGTTGACATGAAGTCAACATATATTCAGCTTCCCATATTTTCAGCTTCTGGGTTTTTCAGGATATGAATCCACTGCAAACGGGAAGCCTCTGTAGTGTAGGGTCTCTTGGCTGGACTGTGACCCTGAGAGAGCCTTTAGGCTTACCAACACTCTTAACCACTGCCCTAAGTAAGGGTTTCACACCTGGTGTCAGAATACCTGCTCCTCCTCCCCAGTGCTGGTGACTCCATTGCTCTTTTCTGACCACAAAAGCAATCCAAAGAGATCATAGACACTCCACCCTCTGCACACACCTTCCACAACATCTATATCCCTGGTCTCTGCCTGTCCTCCTGCAGCTTTGGAAGAGGCCCCCACCTGCTAGCAGAAAGGCTCAAGTGGTAGAGTGCCTGCCTTGTAAGTGTGAGGCCCTGAGTTCAAACCCCAGTGCTGCCAAAAAAAAAAAAAAAGAAGCTCCCATCTATCACCAGCCCCTCCTCCCAATAGGGATTAATTTCTTACAGTCCTGCTCACAAGAGACCATCACTCCACAACTCTTACCTCTCCCAAGGAATCACCAGTTCATCCTCCCTTCTGGATCATTCCCAACTCCATCTACCCAGTCTTCAGTATCTGCTCTTGATGTCCCTCCAGTTAACACCTTCTTTCCTTCTCTCTCTACATAGTACTGTATTGGGGGGGGGGTAGAACTAGGGTTTGAACTCAGGGCCTACACCTTGAGCCACTCCACCAGGCTTTTTTGTGATGGTTTTTTTTTTTTTTTTTTTCTGATAGGGGCTCTTGAACTATTTGTCCATTTTGAACTATTTGGCTTCGAACTTTGATCTTCCTGATCTCTGCCTCCTGAGTAGCTAGGATTACAGATATGAGCCACCAGTGGCCAACTACACAGCACTTCTCAAGAGAGATGCCTTTTTGTGCTATCCCCAATCTTCTATCTCCTCCCTTTTTTTTTTTTTTTTTTTTTTTTGGCAATACTTGGGTTTGAACTCAGGGGCTCACACTGGCTAGGCAAGTGCTCTACCACTTGAGCCATTCCACCAGTCCCCCCATCCTCCCTTTTTCTGTTGAACCCACTCTGGTCAGACCTTGGCCACCAGGACAGCTCTTACCAAGGTCACTCATGACCACCTCTGCTAAGGTGAATCCTCCATCTTCCTCTTCCTGAATCTGAGCATCAGATACCACTGGCCACTCCCTCCTCCTTGCTGGCCTCCTACCTGGGCTGCCAGGATCCACTGCAGGGACCTTTTCTTTTGTCTGAATTTGTTCCATCTTCTGGGACCTTGCACTTTCTAATTCCCTTTCTTCTCATCCTGTGAGGTTTCAAGTTCAGTGCCCTTCTCTGCCCATGACTCTCTAGTGTGGCCCTCATCCTCCCCCTCCCACCTGCCACCTGCCCTCTGTCATGTCATTCTTATTTTCTTTCTTTTTCCTCTCTTTCTCTCCCTCCCTCCCTCCCTTATTTCCTTCCTTCCTTCCTTCCTTCCATCCATCCTTCCTTTCTTCCTTCCCTTTTTTCCCCCATAGTACTGGGGTTTGAACTCAGGGCCTTGTGTTTGCCAGGCAGTCACTCTACCACTTGAGTCATGCTCCCAGCCTTTTTTGCTTTAGTTATTTTTTTGTATAGGATCTAAATTTTTGCCCAGGGCTAGCCTGTGACCTTGATCCTCCTACCTATGGCTTCTGAAGTAGCTGGAATTACAAGTGTGAGCCAAGGTGCCCAACCTAACCATTTGTTACTATTGGAGCACAAATTGAACCACGATTAGGGAAGGCACTTAAAAGAACAGGTAGTTTCTACTAGAATTTACTTCCTTCTGGCGAACTCCTACTCATTCTTTAAACCCAGCTACTCTGGGTGCCAGTGGCTCACACCTGTAATCCTAGCTACTCAGGAGGCAGAGATCAGGAGGACTTCAATTTGAAGCCAACAGGGCAAATAGTTCGGCCAGACCCTATCTCACAAAACCCTTTCACAAAAATAGGGCTGGTGGAGTGGCTCAAGGTGTAGGCCCTGAGTTCAAGCCCCAGTACCACAAGAAAAAAAAAACAAAAAGCAAAAAAAACAGCTGCCCTATTATCTTCTAAGGTTTTTTTGTTTTGTTTTGTTTTGTTTTTGCCATACTGGGGTTTGAACTCAGGGCATACACCTTGAACCACTCTACCAGTACTTTTTTGTGATGGTTTTTTTCCAAGATAGGGTCTCTCAAACTGTTTGCCCAGGGCTGACTTTGAACCTTGATCCTCCTGATCTCTGCCTCCTGAGTAGCTAGAATTACAGGTGTGAGCCACCACTGCCCAGCCAGTTAGTAACCCTTTATTGAGCATCTTCTGTGGGTCAGGCTCTGGGCTTGATTCTCTCTGCCAGAGGGGTTGCTTTGGGGGAGTTCAGGGTAATGTGGGTGAAGAAAGCTGGTAACTGAGTGTCCACCAAGGAAGGGAGGGCACCCAGAAGAAAATAACATTGGGAAAAACAAACATTGACCAGGCCAACCATAGCAGAGGGAGCCCTGCTGAAAGGTTCCAAGCCTCCCCTCCCACTCAAGCCCACCCTCTTTGGGGATGGGGATGGGGTCAGGAAATTGGCTGAGCACCACCATCAGCCAAAGGTAGTCCTGGGATTCCAAAAACTGTCCCTGCTCCCTCTGAAGTGCTGGTATGTTTGTAGAATGAACCTCTGCTCTCTGGAGGGCCCTAATTTGACAGTTGGCCATGTGGAATTGGGGATCTGAGGACCCGCTTTGTTCACACTCAGGCCTGGGGACAGGGGACCCTAGACACCGGAAGACCCAGCAACCAGGTGTCCTCCTCCAGCTCTGCCTGGTGCTCCTGCGCTTCTGAGATCTGTCATGTCAGGCGGGCACCGTGCAGCCTTGAACTTTCACAGGACACCGTCTTTTCCACCCTAGGTGTCCTTTTTCGGTTCAGTCCCAATTGCCTGGAGGCACCACCACCCTGGGGAAGGCGGACAAGCACCACGCCTGGCCCAGCGCAAATAGGACATCGCTTGCCTGCGGTCACCCAGAGGACGAACTCCGGGGTGGGAGTGGTGGGGGGAGAAATGAGGGCGGGGAAGGAGGAGGAGGAAGCACCGCTCAGTCCCGCCGCCTGACCTTCCCAGGCAGCGCCACAGCAGTAGGCTCAGACCCCCCCACTGGCGGCCGACCCAGGTTCCCGGCTAGTTCTCTCTGCTCCCGACGCTCCGGGCCCCAGTCCCAGTCCCTGGCGACTCCCCAATCCAAAGCCACCGAACGCCGGCGGGAGAGGTAGGAGGGAGGCGGCAGGGTTGCGGGGGGCGCAGCAGGGGCGCACACGGTGGAGCGCACGGGTCCGGCGCCGTGATCGCCCAGCCGCGTCCTATACTGTTCGAGTAGATGTCGGGAGCAATCTTCGCGCCTCTGGAAGGCCCGGGCGCCCTGGACGCCGCCAGTGGCCTCCCGCTCGTGTGCCCCTTGTGCCACACGCAGTACGAGCGCCCATGCCTGCTGGACTGCTTCCATGACTTCTGCGCCGGCTGTCTGCGGGGCCGCGCCACCGACGGCCTCTGGCCTGCCCGCTGTGCCAGTGAGTGCCCCCCATGTCCCGCAGACCACCCAAGGGAGTGCTGTGGCTGCTCCTGGACGGTAACCCAGAGGCGGGAGGGGATGCACCAGCTCCCAAAAGACCTGGCTAGGACGACCTGCCCACAGTCGGGTCTCCTGCCAGAACTTGCAGGCTCCTGTCCATTTAACTGAGGTGGGAGAGAACAGTTACTGGCCCAAGGTTTCCCAGAAAAAATTAGGGGGCGGGACGGGGTGGAGTAGTATTCGGGTCACTCCCAGTAACTCTGTTGAGGGATCCCAGAAATCTTAGATCTACCTACATCAAATTGGCTCAAGTTCCAGGGTGAGGCTCTAAATTTTCTCCATGCAGTAAGAGAATGCTCAGGCGATTTGGGTTTTTACACCCAGAGCACCAACCCCACAGTATGACAGGATCACCCACCACCGGGCAAAGGTTGGGGCCATCAGGGCAGTTGCTGGCTGCTGTATGCATAGCCAACCTCAGGCTGCAGTAGACCCCATGTCCCTGATTTGGCTATTTTTAACTACAGCCTGGAATGTGAGGCCTAAGGGTGGAGAGCCTCCTGCCAGGAGTGTCTAGATCTTGGCTGCAGCCTTTTCACAGGCACCAGACTGTGGTGAAGGGTCCCAGTGGGCTCCCTCCGGTGGACCGGCTGCTGCAGTTCCTGGTGGACAGCTCCAGGGATGGTGTGGAGGTCGTGCACTGTGCCAACTGCGACTTGGAGTGCAGCAAGCAGGCAGGGGGGCAGAGGGGGTGGGGAGCAGTGGGTACCAGCTGGCACAGTCCCCAGTACTTGAAGCATGTACCCAGTGATTCTCCAACCCCTCCTTCGCGCATTTGGGATCCCCAATGTGGAGAGACTGAGGTCCATGTGACTTGAGTCAACAGCAGAGAGTGACAGGTTGAGGTCACTGGATTTAGGGAGTGCCTATTGTCCCCAAGTCAGGGGTCAGGGTCTTCTCTCTCTCTCTCTTTCTCTCTCTTCCCCCCTCTCTCCCTCTAAAATATTTTGCAATACAGTTTCTGCCTTTCCCCCATGCCTGACCACGGAACTATCTCTTTCCTATATCTGTCCCTTCTTACCTACCTACTTAGCCTCTGGGCCTCAGTGTCCTGTCTGTAAAGTGGGCACAATATGTCGGGATTACAGAAAAGGGCTGCTTTTAGTCACGCACCTGCCCAGGTCTGGGACACACGCACACAATGACACACTGGCCGCACGCCCGAGGGCGGCCTGAGCCAGCGCTCTGCCTCCAGGACGCGGAAACCACGGACTTCGGCAACACGTGTGGGCAGCCCTTGTGTGCGCGCTGCCGCGAAGAGTCGCACCGGGCACGAATGTTTGCGCGCCATGATATTGTGGCCCTTGGCCAGCACAGCCGCGACGTGACTCAGAAATGCAGTGAGTGAGGCACGCGGGGCTGGCGATCTAGCCAGGGGTGGCCGTGGGCACCTCCCTGTAGCTTTCTCCACGACAACCGTCGCCCCTCAGCGCTGCACGCCGAGCCCTACATCATGTTCTCCACCGACAAGAAGTCGCTGTTGTGCATTCGCTGCTTCCGGGACATGCAGGGGTGGGTTGAGGAAGCAGTAGGGGAGGGGGCTGGGGGTAGCTGGAACCGGTCTTATTAGCTGTCCCTGGGCAGGGAGAGCCGGGCCCACTGCATAGACCTGGAGTCGGCTTATGTACAGGGGTGCGAGAGGCTGGAGCAGGTGGTGATGGTGAGCGCTGGATCCGGAACCGGGTGGGGGTGTGGGAACGTGCAGGCGCCCCGAGGCTAAGGCCACTCTGTCTCCAGTCAGTGAAGGCCCTACAGACGGCCACTCGGGAGGCCATCGCCCTGCCCTGCTGCAAGCCATGGTGGAGGAGGTGCGGAGCAGTGCCGCGGAGGAGGAGGGGGCCATCCATGCCCTCTTCAGCAGCATGCAGGTGAAGGGAGGAGTAAGGAACCTGCACCCTGCTGGCTGTGCAGCCTCATCAGCCCGCAACGCAGTCAGGGGCGTCCCTGTGACCTTGTGAGTTTCCAGTGCGACAGGGGCAGACGTTGAACTAACTTCTTTCCTAGGAGTTAGACACAGTTGCCTAGAGAGTTCCAGAGGGACCCCAGGCCAAGGCCTGCCCTAGGCTGGTGTCCGGATTGTGGGGGAGAGGTCTAAGAAGACTGTACCTAGGAGGTGACATTTAAGATGAGGGTCCCAGGCTCTCAGGCAGCGGTAAGCAGTAGCGCCTTGCTAGTGGACCAGATAAATAACATGCCCCAGCACAAAGTGGTGGGAAATGGTGGGGGCGAGGAGAGGGAGGGTGCAGAAGGGTGGGAGAGCCAGGTTTGGGCATTCAGGTCAGTGGTGGGCTGTCTCTCCCAGGACAAACTGGCAGAGAGGAAAGTGTTGCTGCTGCGGGCTGTGCAGAGGTGAGGGGTACTCTGACCCCTTGCCCCTTGGCCTCCACCGGGCAGGCTTTGCCTCACCTGGGGTGCAAGACATCCAGGTGTGTCCACCAGCAAAGGAGGACAGGGTACTTAGGGTGAGGAAAGGGTGACAGGGACTGCAGGTTCCTAGACCCTGGAGGGAGAGTTGGGCAGCAGTCTTCTGGAGACCAGGCAGCCTGCCCCTTCCTCAGCCAATATGAAGAGAAGGACAAGGCCTTTAAGGAGCAGCTCTCCCACTTGGCTGCCTTGCTCCCCACCCTCCAGGTAGGGGTGGGGGGTAAAGGAGGAGTGGGGAGGGTGTAGGGCTGGGCATCCGGGCTTAGGGGCCAGGCACTGAGCACTGTCATTTGTTGTTATCCCCACTCCTACCCACCTTAGGTTCACCTGGTCTTCTGCTCTTCCTTCCTCAGCCTAGCCAACAAGGCTGAATTCCTGGATCTGGGCTATGTGAGTCTCCCCAACTCCTGTAGGTGTCAGGAGCCAGCCCTGTACCTGGGGCTCTGGGTTTGCCTTCCCTTCCTCCACTCCACCATTTACACACGCTTTAGGGGCCAGGGAGCATAGCCTTCATTCTCTGAAAGTATAGTGTCTACTGGAGCCCTGTCACCTCCTTCCCTGTGAATTTGGGTGGTGGACTTATCTGGGCCTGATCCAGGGGGTAGGGTTGGATCCTCTAAGGAACACCAGGTAAAATGCTAAGATGACTTTGCACCTCCACCTCCTCTCCCCTCTTCCCACCCCCCCACCCGCTGCCACCTCTGCTGCCCTTCCCCCCTCACCCTCCCACCCCGTGAGGCAGGAGCTGATGGAGAGGCTGCAAGGCGTAGTCACTCAGCCACATCGCCTAAGGCCAGCTCAAAGCAGCAAGGTGCGTGGGCGCTCCCTGTAGGCCAGGGTCAGAGGAATTCCTGGGGCAGGGGAAGCCACCTCAAGACCCGATCCCGTCCTGCTGTGCAGATCACCAGCGACCACCACGCAGAGTTTGCACGCTGCCTGGAGCCACTGCTGCTGCTGGGGCCACGCCGGGCAGCGGTGGCCAACATGTAATCAGCACCAAGGGCACACGACCACTGCGTCCAGACACAAGGCACTGTGGGGCGGGATCGTCTGGGAAAGGACTTTGGTTCTTGATCCCCAGGGGGCCCAGCTCAAGCAAGTCCGAGGAGCCTACTGTCCTTTGAGGTCCCCGGGAAGGGAAGGCCCATTGCAGAACTCACTCAGGGGTGTCCTAGGGGACTGGGAGGAGTTAGGAGAAATGCTGAAACTGACACGTGTGTGACCAAGAATCTCAGAAACCAAGAGAGAAAGACAGTTGTCTGTCCAGCATGACAGTGAGCACACCATTTACCCAGAAAGCCTATGGCCAGCTGGCCTTGCCCTCCACCAACACTGGAATCACAGCAGAGGGAACCTTTAAAACCAAGATGTGGAGCTGGACACCAGTGGCTCATACCTGTAATCCTAGCTACTCAGGAGGCAGAGATCAGGAGGACTGTGGGTTCAAAACCAGCCCAGGCAAATAGTTCTCAAGACCCTGTCTCGAAAAAACCCATCACAAAAAAGGGCTGGTGGAGTGGCTCAAGGTGTAGGTCCTGAGTTCAAATCCCAGTATTGCAAAGACAAAACAAAAAAGCCACCAAGATGTCATGTCATGTTGGTGCTACTGGATGTGGCCTTGCCTGGGATTCTCAGAGCCCTCAGTGGTTCTGCCATATAGTTGGGCTGAGTGGCAATGAAGCCCTGAGAAACCCAGGGCACTACCCTGGAGGCTGGGGGAAGAGAGGACTAGTTCCTCTCCCTGATCCACACTGGCTCTCTCCCCAGGCTGGCTGGAGGCTCAGGACCCAACGTGCTGAAGGTGCCCAGCTGCCCCTCCCCAGTGGGAAAGATGTCAGGGTCCCCCGTCCAAAAACCCATGCTGCACCGATCCATCAGCACCAAGGTGTTACTGGCCAAGGGCCAGGACACCCCCTTCACAGAGCACTGCCATCACTATGAGGACTCTGCAGGGTGAGGGGAGGGCCCTAGCCTTTCCATACCAACTCACCAAGATGCAGTTGTCTGCACCTGACCGGAAGTCACCCCACGCCTCTTGCAGGTGGAGGTACAGAACCTGAAGGACCAGGTCCAGGAGTTGCACCGAGACCTCACCAAGCACCACTCCCTTATCAAGGCCGAGATCATGGAGGACATCCTGCAGAGGTCCCTGCAACTGGACGTGCAGATCACCTCGGAGCATGCCTCCATGGAGGGCATGAGAGCGGCCTTTCAGGAGGTAGCCCTCCCTGGGAGCCCAGCTCTGTCCTGGGGGCAAGAGACACATGGCTACACCAAGACAAGAAGTGGAGAAAAAGGACCTGGCCCAGTGCCCCACTAGACCTCCGGGGGCGGGGGGGTGGGGTTTCTAGAGCCTGGAGGTTCTGCCACCAGGATGGGGCTATATGGCTCCAAGTAGAAATTTCTAGAGCAGAAATGCCACCAGTGGAAATTCCTACTCACTGCCACATCCAGCATTGCCACTCTTCTCTTTCAGATTTAGGAGGAATCCTACCAGCGAGTGACTAATGAGCAGGAGATTTACGAAGGTCTCAGGCAATGACTGCTTGTTGAAACCCCCACCCCCACCCCCAGTGTTGGAGCTAACCCACATGCTAGCAGAAGAGGAAGACAGTCAGCTGCTAACCAGGCACACATCTCCCCCCTCCCCCCACCAAGCTTTTCTCCGTAGAGCTTGGCTTGACCCTTACATCTGCCCGTGATGCATCTGAAATCAGGATTTGGCAAGTGGAAGCCCACACCAAACACTGTGCCCTTTCATTAGAGACAGTCATTGAAACAGTTGGGATCCTTAGATGGTGCCAGGCTTGAGAGTAAGTGTCTGAAACCAACAAGACCCAACCCAGGCCTTGGCCCCTACAGCCCAGCTCCATGACCTTCTCCAGCTGAAGCAGGAGAACGCCTACCTGACCACCATCACCAAGCAGATCACACCCTATGTCTGCTCCATTGCCAAGGTGAAGGAACGGCTTGAGCCCAGGTGAGGCCAGAGGGTGTTCCTAGGGCCGCTGAGACACTTCTGAATGTGTGTGGGAAAGGTGCCACGTATTCAAAAGGATGCCTTCCAGGGAAGTTAGCAGACTGGGTCTGAGGGTGCCATAAAAGCATGGTCAAAGCCAGGCGCTGGTAGCTCACAACTATAATCCTATCTACTCAGGAAGCAGAGATCAGAAAGTCAGCCTGGGCAAATAGTTCTCAAGACCCTATCAAAAATACTCAACACAAAACAGGGCTGGTGGAAGGGCTCAAGTGGTAGAGCGCCTGCCTAGGAAGTGTGAGGCACTGAGTTCAAACCCCAGTACCAAAAAGAAAGAAAGAAAGAAAAAAAAAACCACGGTCACAGTGAGTGTTGTGCACTAATCTGCTTCTAGGCATATGATTGCGCCCTCTAGCCCTTGGGAGTAGGTCCAAGCAGAGAGAACTTCTAGGGAGTGTCGTGAGGGTTGTCCACAGTTCCAGCAGCAGGACAAGGAGAAAGTGGCTCCTGCATCTGCACATGGCTAAGACAAGCTAGGTCTGGACCAGGCTCTCTCAGCACCATACTCAGGTATCAACAGGTGCTACTGTGGCAGAGGGGTCATCAATGTGCCGTCTTCACAGGGTCCCCGATGGACTATGCACAGCTGTAGCTTGGGCTCTCCCTCCACCACCCTTCTGGGATTCATTTGCCCTTGTCTCCTGTATCCCCCTTTTGTATTTGGTGGAGCCCATCCCCCAACTGCTTCTGGAGAGAAGGTATTCAGAGAGCACATTTTCACGTTCTGAAAATGTCTCCATTCCTCCTCACAGTTAGCTTTACTTGGGTCTCAAATTCTAGATAAAAACTCCAGACTGGGAAGAATTCTGCCTTGAAGGCACTACTGTATAGTCTTAGCTTCTAGAACGTCTTGTAGGCTGGGATGTAGCTCGGTGGTACAGCGCTTGCCTAGCATGCGTGAGGCCCTGGGTTCGATCCCAGCACCAAAAATAGAAAAGACAAAAAAAAAAAAAATAGAACATCTTGCAAAGTCTGGAGACATTCTGATTCCTAATCCTTGCCATGTGACCTACTTTCTCTCTGTGGAAGCCTATAGACTCTTCTCTTGCCTTAGTGTCCCGAAATTTCCCTTGGGTGCTGGTGGGCTGTCTTAATCTGGAAATTCATGCCTTTTGATTCTGGCGTATTTCTTTTTTAATTAGTTGATTTCTTCATTTTTTTCTCTTTTGGGAATTCCTATGATTGGATATTGGCTCTGCTTTTTTTTTTTTTTTTCTGTCACTTTGTCTTATTCTTTCTGAGAGTTCTCCTTCCAGTGCTTCTATTGAGTTGTTCCTGTCTGGTGTGTCTTGGTTTTAATTTCCAAGAGCCCTTTTGTGCCCTGACTATTCTTTCTTTGCAGTATCCTGTGGTTTCTTGGAGATACTTTCTTATCCCTCTGAGGCTGAGAGGTGTTTGTTTTTCCTTTTGGAAGTTTTCTCCCTAAAGTCTTCATCCTCCAAGTGACTCTTTGTTCAGGTTCTGGTCTTCCATGCTCAAGGCTTTTCTCAGATGTCAGGTAAACCTGGATTAACCGCCCAGTTCAGGAGTGAGGAAACGAAGCAAAGTGGTAGGTAGAATCTCTGGGCACTTGGCTGGTGCTCCATGGGAGGGGGTCTGTGTGGGTGGGCTCAGGGGGCCTGTGTATATGAGTGGGTGACTTCTTGTTTATGGAATGCCTCGATGTCAGATGTAGGTCCTTTTCGTTTCCTCACCTGGAAGGCCTGTTATAGAGTTGTGTGTGTATACCCAGTGTTCTGGCTTTCAGCCCAGTTCTCAAATTTGAGTTGTGCTATCTCAGAACTAACCCTTTAGACTTCTGCTGTGGTGGGAGACAGGCAGCTGGTAGTGTCAGGGGTCTTCATTGTCACCTATCTATCCTTATTTTGGTCCCACTCTCCCTGTTGCAGAGACCATGGGGCTGCCAGTTCTGAGTCTCTTGTGATGTGAGCTGGGTTGGAGCACAGCTGGTCCTGTCTGTCCCCAGCTCTGGTTTCCCAGGGCTGCTACCTCAGTCACACTCGCCCACATGTCCCCCAGCTTCTGACTTATTGGTTGGTTCTCAACCTGAAGAGGTCATTTTCTCCTTGTTTGTTCTGGTCCCTCATTAGAGGTTTAATCATTTCAGGAAATGAGGAAAATTACTGTGCATGCATAATCTGCCATATATTAACCCAGAACTGCCAATTCATCTGTTTTTGGTAGCACTGGGGTTTGCTAGGCAGGCACTCTACTACTTGACCCACTCCACCAGCCCCACTCACCTTGTAAGTAACGATTTTAACATATTACACTGAGAGGTCAAACTCATCATACTCTGTAAATTCCTGATCAAACCATTTTTCCCCAACCTGGTTGCCATGTTTCCTACTTCATAGGCCCCTAACTGGACATTCAGCATTTACTCCAGTCACTGTATAATTCCATTCATAAAACCTCAAAAATAGGCACAGCTAACTTGGATGTGAGCAGTCACAATGATGATTATCCTGGCGGTATGATGGAAGAGGAAATTAGGGAGTTCAGTGGAACGATGTGCTCGTGCTGACTATGCAGGTGTTCATACAGAACAGGCATCAAGCTGGACTAGTACCGTTTGTGCATTCCCTTCTGTATACTGCTCCCATGAGAAGCTGACTCTGAGTGTAGACAGCTGCCTGCTCCAAAGGACCCTGCTGGCAGGACTCCTGTGTGCCAGGAAGCCTGTGGTCAGTTTCAGTGGAATGGAAGGAGCACAAACTGGAGCCCAGCTCCTGGAAGTTTGGGTGGAGGTGGCCTCTGGTTGTCCTTGAGGCACCACTTTCCTCCAGAATACTCACTCACCCAGGAATGTGCTCTTGCTCTCTTTCCTGTCCCAGCTCAACCAGAGCCCCTCCCTGGGCTTTCTGTGTTGTCACGAGAATACTGTGCCTGTCTTATTTCACATGCCCTTCTCTTGTGTGGGAAACACCCACACTTCCAATCTACCCCACCCCTTCTAGCCATTCATTCCTTCCTGGTCCTTGGTGGCTCTGCTCCTTGGCCTGCTGATTGTGTAGGGTTTCTCCCTTAAGTGACTTCATCCATTTCCCTGTGGTGTTTTTTTTTTTTTTTTTTTTTGTGAGACAGGGTAGCCTGGAACTCTCAATCCTCCTGCCTCAGTCTCCTGAGTGCTGTGTACCACATGCTCAGCGTTTTTTTAATTTAAATTCTATTGGTGCTGCAGATTGAACCCTGGCCTTGAGCACGCTAAGTGTAGGCTTGAGTTCTAGCACTGAGCTGCACCCCCAGCCCAGTTCCTTGGCTTTTAAGCACCACTGTGATGCAGCAACCGACTCACCCCGGTCCCTTCCCAGCAGTCCTCTGGGTTCCAGATTCATCTCCAGTTGCCTCCCTCCTGGTGTCTCCACCAGGATGTCTAAGGTGTCTCAGCTCAGCAGTAGCCAGCAGAGGTGTCCTCCTTGTCCCCTACCATGTCTAACTCATGTTAACCAATGGTCACATGTACATCCAAAATCTGGAGAGTCATCCTGACTCCTTTTCTCACCTGCTCCCATTTCTAGCTCATTCCCAAGTCCTGGCAGACTAAACTGTGTTTCAGTCCACTCATTTTTTTCTCTGCTGCTACCTCAAACCCAGACCACCAGGGCCCATACTCTTGGCCCCCTTCACCCAGTCACACAACCACTGATCTTTTAAAAGCCTGTGATTTCCATCACAACAGGGCCTGACAGTGCTTCTGGGGACCTTCCCTGGCCACTTCTGACCATGTCAGTCCCTTACAGCATCTGGTCACAATAGCCTTCCCATTCCCCCAATGAAGTCAGACTGGCTTACTTCTAAGCCTCTGCTTCTAACTCTCTCGTGGTCCCTCATCACTTGGGTCAGCAGAAGCCTCACAAAGCACCTTGATGAAAGCAGGTCTCACTTGTTGCTCTGCACTGCCCATCCCAGCCTGAGGTATCTCTCCTGACCAGCATGTAGCTCCTGTGAGAGCCAGGCTTGACCTCCCCTGTCCACTACCACAGGTGGTGGTTTCCTAGCCCTGGCAAACCACTGGAGCTTGGTAAATACCCCAGGACCAAAAGAGGGAAGTTTGGTTTGGGGCAGCGTGAGCTTCAGGCTTCTCACCTCAGGGCTACCTTTAAGCCTGCCAGTACTTGCTTTCTCTGCCCCAGGTTCCAGGCACCTGTGGATGAACAGTTAGAGAATCTACAGGACATGTATGATGACAGCAGGAATGGTGAGACCCCCCACCAGGTAAAATAAGTCTTTCCGCCATGAGAGAGGGCAAGAGATTTGATTTCAGAGGCAAATGCAAGCACAAAGAAAGTTCATGGGCCCTTTGGGCCCAGCTTGCTGTGGATGAATCTATGGCCTAGGCAGTATCTCAGTTTATAAAATAAGAGGTCAGAAAGACTCTTAACCTAAGTGAGTGCTTAAACAAGTGACCCCCTAGCTGACAGATCTGACTTTGATAGAACCATTTACAATTTCAAACGCCTGTGGTTGTGGCCTGTGTTCACTTATACCACAGAGGGCTGCAAGCACTTATTATGTCAAGTGGCTCAAATTCCATAACTGAGAAAAAGTGACTGAGGGGGATTTTGTAGAGTGTGATTCACTGGAATCACAGTGTATCTAATACTTGCCAGAGGCGGAGAGTACACTGTCACAAGCTGGTCTTAGATTTTTGCTCTCAGTAAAATGTGTCGATCACGGGGTAGGTACAGTATGGTGTAGTCAGAGCTGGGAGAGCCCATAAGTTTACTGAACTGTCTAGAATCACAGGAAGAGCAGAGACCAGGTCTACCCTCTGATGCAAGGTTCAGGTGCTTCAGGGTCACCTTAGTTCAAAGCCTGTTGTCACCCAGAGCTGCTGAAACAGCCTGAATGTGCTAATGTTTGGGCAGCTGACAGCCATCTCCTAACGAATAGCTCTCACTCAGAAATGAGGCAAGAATCCCTGATGAGATGCAGGCTTTTCTGATTCTGAAGATGTGGTCACCTGCTGGGGCCTTTCAGAAAGGTTTTCCATTGTAAAAGCCTTGGCCCAGATCGGACAAGCTCCTCTCAAACTGTTCCTTTAGGAATGATCCAGTAAATGTCACAGACAAGAGAGAGAAGACACCTGAGCCCAAAGGAACAGCCAGGCCCTGAGCAGCCTCTCAGAAAAGCCTGCACGGAAGAACCGGGACCACCTCAGACCCAAGTAGAAAAATGGAGAGCAGACAACTGAGTAAATGGGACCTGTCCTGAGGGGTTGGGCTTTCCTAGCAAGGGACACTGAAGAAAAGGTTGTTCCCGCTATGGTTGTTTCTTTAAAAGGTGTAATTGATTGAGTAAACCCCAGGAACTAATGGCCTGGCTGCTTCATTTTGCCTGTGCTCACATGCATAAGTCCTAGCCCTTGCTCAAGTTGGGATGACTTCCCCGCCACGTGGACCAGTGAACATGATGCCCCTCACCCAGCATCTGCATGTCAGGTGTCGGTGGGCCACGTGGGTGTGAGGTACTGCTGCTGAGTTTCAGGTATCAAGACACCACCACTGGGCAGTACCTGCCCTACTTTGAAAGAATTCACTTCCTCCTGAATGACAGCCCCACTGCTGACCTGGTACCACCAGAAAGTTCCACCCAGTCATCTGAGCATGGCTCACAAAAGGGCAACTTCTGTCATGGTAAGGGCAGATCTCATGAAGCCCAGTGAAGGTCACTTGCCAGCTCCATGGCAGATGGTCACTACTATAACTTCACTGCTTTCTCAAACTGTAGCACAGTGTGCAGCAACCTTTTTTCAAGTACTTTTTCTAATAATTTCCCATTTCTATGCAGTACCCCTTTTGAGGAGCTTAACACATGTCTAAACAAAATTAAGCTTCCTTACTTAAAATTTAAGTTTTGGAGGTTAAGTGATGCCCAGATAGTCACATTTTAAGCCAGTATCTAGTTGATTCAGTGGTTTGAATAGCACATGGCCTCTACGTATCAAAGAGAGCTACACATCAAAACAGAAATACACCAGTCACACCCACACCCTGTGCCCCTGTACTACATCCCGGAGAACAGAAGGAATTCATCATTACATCTGAGGCAGAAGTTCTGGACACTCCTTAACCAGAAGTGTCCCAATCAGCTTCCAGCCTCTGTACCTCCCAGTCACGCTGTTGGTCATAGTGAAATCCGGTAGTTTTATTGAAGAATTGGAAAGAAAAAGCAGTATTTGTGAAAGAAAGTCCAATTTAATATATTTAAATAAACATTTCTGTATGTAAAAAGAAGAGTACAATAATTACTCCGTAACTTTTCGTTGTGATGGGGCCACTGCCCCCACTTAGGATTGGGGGGGCCTTCTAAGCCTGGGACAAATGCCAAGCCTTTTATCATGTCAGAGGCTGAGGGCTTCTAACCTGGACGACCACTGCAACAGCGAACTACGGTGGGGGGGGTCACAACTAAGGCAGTGAGAAAGTGTAGAGAATGGGCTCACCGCGCCCCCACCAAGGGGCTGTGGCTGAGACCTTACTGAGCCTGGCTGCTGGTACAGCTCAGTGGCTTAATATTTTTCCCTGATATTCCAATCCCCAGGTTGGAGAATGAGTAGGAAGGATTAATAACATACTTTTAGGTTCAAGAAGTGGTTCCTACCAAGGAAGAGACTCCAGGGGCACTACCTCTTCTGTAAACTGCCAATCACCAAGCAGCAGCAGAGCCTCAGGAAATGTTTCATTTTACACTGTTTCAAGGTAGCTTTGCTTCTGTGCAGTACCCATTCTTCACTGAAGACTCTCCATTTTACAAACTTGCAACTGGAAATCTGACAGGTTCTTAATTTGAGGAGACCTGGAATGTAGCCTTTACAGTGGGTACCTGAAAAGCCTTCATCTCATTAGCCTGATTCTCTGCCACATGGTGTCAACACTGCCTTTATAAAGTTAAAAATAACATCACGATCACAGCAGCAGATGAAGTCAATCACTTGCTAAATTCTGCCCTTAAATAGCTCACCTTTTATCCCTATGTACTGGGATTCCTGCTTTGGGATTATGAGGGTGGGACTGTTCTCTCACCACCTGTGCCCCCAAAATTCCTCCTTAAGCAGAGCAGAACATGTCAGCTCTCCCCAGATGTGAGGAAGTCTCACCAAGACACCCCCAAACCTGGACTCCTTTGTTCTTGGGCCCAGCATGAAGCTGGGCTTTCTGGTTTCTGGCAGAGAGGGTGGAATCAAATGCCACCACCATCCTTACTATCCACAATGCCAGGGGCTGTTATTAGTGTTCTCCATCCATCAAAAAAGACAACTTCACAGCCCCCAAGGGAAATGGAGGCTGGGCCCAGTCTTGCTTAGATGTGAGAACTTCCCCTCAGAGAACTGGGAATGGCTGCCAAAAACCCTTCTACACCCTCTCCCAGTCTGCAGTTGTGGTAAGTGGAGTTTGCTTTGGTAGCATGGCCTGGAGAAGTTGAGGACTGACTGGACTCCTACTCCCAAACTGAGTGAGTGCATGTCGATGGCCCGCCACGGATCACTCCTGATGAGCTATGCTGCCGGCTGCAGCCACAGTCTTGCTGGATGCCCTGCAAGGCCTTGTGAAGTCCTGAGTGCCAACAGCTCTCTAACCATACTGTGCCATACTGCTAGTCGGCAAACCCACTCTTTGGTATATATAATAATGAAAAATTAAGCCACGAAACCTAGAAGTTAGTAATATTTCTGAGCTGGTAAAATGCTCCTTTGAATATACACCTTTAGGTATCTGCTCAGTTAACCAAACATAAGCCCATTTCTGTTTAGTTCTTACGCAGTATAATTTCATTATATCATCCCTCTCATCTAAGTATGAAAAGCATCTGGCATTATTCTAAGTCCTCACAACACCCCTGTGAGGTAGGTGGTATTTGCCCCATTCTACAGCGGGGGAGACCTAAGCACAGAAAGGTCTAGTGGCCCCTCAAAACCAAGCAGGTGGTTGTGGCTGAGCAGAGCTCTGGCCACACACCAATGCCACCTTTGCATTCACGCTTCGTCAGTGTCACTGCAAAGGTGCTTGGAAGGATCTCACACCAAGACCAAGTTCCTGTCTGGTCCAGGATTAAACAAGGATCAAACACTTCTGTGTTTGACAAAAGCCAAATTTTCTCCCTAAGTCCGCAGAACAAAAATGTCAACAGAACCTTTGTTGGGATGGTCTGCCCTACTGAAGATTATTTAGGAGTGGATTTACTTGAATTTGAGTTGTATGTGGTGTGGTGGAACCCCTTTGGAAAAATAGCTCAAAACAACACTGGGGAGGATGTGACTTCTTGAGAACACAGAAAATGTTTGATAGATTTATGCTGAAACACAAACATACAGCTATGGTAAAATGAGAGTAAAAATCCCAAAGAAATGGACAGCAGTTGTTTCTCAACATTTAGCCTTGCGTGCAGCAGGCATTCAGAAAGCACTTCTTGAATATCGGGAGGACAGCAGGAGGCTGACGCCAGGAGAGCACAGGGACCTACAATCCCTGCCAAATAAAAGCTGGAGTTGAAAACACCAACTGAGTCCCTTTGAATTTATGCTGCTTATGAGATAGATGTGTAAACAGGATTAAATATTTGAAGAGCCAAAGAGCTGGAGAAGGAAGTCTCATTAGAATTACAGGTGTTCATGCACTCAAGGGCAGAATAAAAAGGTTAAAGCTGTACTGCTGGGTTTTTCGGTTAAAGGTTTTGATGCGTTTTCAATGCTGATAGTGGCGATACCACCACCCTTTCTGCAGCAGAAGCACTGCAGAGAGCAGTGCTCATCTCTGCTCACCTATCCTGAGGAGTCCTGGTCACAATGCAAACATACTCGTGCTTCGGGGGCACTGGATGTGGCCTGGGTTCTCACCAAGTCACTTTGGAAGGGGCACTGATGAATATTGCTGTGATCTGCTCCTTGATCTTTAATCTATGTCCTACCTTGATTCAGCACAAGAATAGATTGCCCGGTGGGTCCTTTGGTCCTAAGGCCTTCTGACCATTTGGTCTTGGGTAACATTCCAGAAAAGTAATTAGTGATATATAAAATGACTAAGAAAATTCATTCTGCAGTGGCTGACCGGAAGCAGTTTTGTCCCAGGCTGTGTAGGGTCAGAGGCCCCTCGGTCCCACCAGGCCCCCACCCATCATAGCTCTACTTTGACTCCCTTTATGAAAGGTAGGCCAGTGGGCACCCTCTTCTTATACTCCAGGTAGTCCTCTCCAAAAAAGTGAATCAGTGAGATTTCTTCTTCTTCTGTTCGGTCACGGAAGAAGCGCCAAACCGTCAGGGCATAGACAACGCCACAGATGGGGTTACACAGCATCACCTGGTGGGGAAAGCATGGAGATGATCAGAGTCAGTATAGTCTGGCACCCAAGAACCTGTTTGTTTCTAATACTCATAGGATTTCCCCCCAAGGACCCAGGAGATGTTAAAAAAAAAAAAAAACAAGAAACAAGAAACTGCTGGCAGAGTGGCTCAAGTGGTAGAGCACTTGCCTGGCAAGTGTAAAGCCCTGAGTTCAAGCCCCAGTACTGCCAAAGAAGAAACAAAAACAAAAACAACCTGACCCTCATCTCTGAAGTTCTTTTCAATACATTTCTTTGTTCCTTTAGGTGAGAAAGATCCCAAAGTCACAAGGAAAGATCAGTTTCTTGGATTTCAACCTTCAGGTCAGGGTGACAGATGCAACTTTCTGAACCCACGTGTGAATTCCCCAACATGGGGGTTCATTCCAGGGCCCCACCTGCACCCAGACAAGCTGGAACCTCACAGCTGCCTTGGACCCGGTCTCCTGGCCCACAGCCTTCCTATTGGTATGAGAAACACCATTACCAAACTGAGCTTCTGAAAACACTTTTCAGCAGATCGCTCTGTCTGGACACTGGTGGCTCACGCCTGTAATCCTAGCTACTCAGGGGGCAGAAATCAGGAGAATCACAGTTCAAACCTAGCCCGGGCAAATAGTTCGGGACCCTATCTCGAAAAAACCCTTCATAAAAAAAAAAGGGCTGGTGGAGTGGCTCAAGGTGTAGGCCCTGATTTCAAACCCTAGTACTGCAAAATAAAGAGTATATCACTCTGCTCAGAAAGCTCCAATGCCTGAAACCTAGAAAAGCTGCATCTAGCTGGCTTTCTCCAGCCTCCCCACCAGACCCAGCCTGGTGTTCTTCCACTTTTGAGTCTTCCCCACTGACCCACAGCCAAACAGTTCCTTAAGGCCAAAAATACCTCCATCAATTCAGAAACTTTCCATGCTGCTGCTGGTAACCCACCCCCACCACCCACTGTTGGTGTTAAGAACTGATCCCGTGTACACGTCTTCCCCCAAATAGGTCTTTTTACCTGGAGAGCCAGGTGCACACCCTGACCTCCCACCCCTTCTCTTCACTGTTAATTGAGCACTTACAGCGATCCCAGCACTGTGCCATGTCCTTTTCAACCATTAACCTATTCAGCCTACAACAAACCTTTGAGCTCAAGTTAGTACACCACACCACTGTTTCCACTCTCATGTGTGAGGGAAGGGAGGCAAAGCTGTGACCATCACAGCCAGGACTACCCTGGCTGGCAAGTCCAGAGCCTGTACCATCACACCTGGTGGATGCGTGTAGCTCTCTGGGCACCCTTGATGGCAGGTTTCCCAATTACAGGCTGCAACCTGCTACTTAGCTGTGAAATCAATTTAGTACATCACGAAGAGGACTGCAAATAAGATAGGAAATGATGTTTTGTAAAAGTAAGGATGAGTACTATTCCAGGGAAGACATGTCTGTTTACACACACGTGCTGGGGCACAATGTAAAAACTATCTCTGGGTGTAACCCTTCAGCCTGCGAGCACTTATGGCAAATCACATTTTTCACCTGTAATCAACTTGTTCTCAGACAATGTGTCTACAAGTGTGGGAGTGTCTTCTATGTTTTAAAATATAAATGTTTAGCTGGGCACTGGTAGCTCATGCCTGTAATCCTAGCTACTCAGGAGGTAGAGATCAGGAGAAACACTGTTCAAAGCCAGCCTGGGCAAATAGTTCCAGAGACCCTATCTCAAATTCTTGGGGTAGGGGCAGAAAAAATAAAATTTTTAACACACAAAAAAAGGGGGCTAGAGGAGTGGCTCAAGTTGTAGAGCACCTGTCTAGCAAGTGTGAGGCCCTGAATTCAAATCCTAGTGCTGCCAAAAAACAAACAAAAAAGAAATATAAATGTTTAAAAGATAAGCTACACAGTCATTTGCCCTACTCTACTAGAGTCCCCATTGCCTATGCATTGCTGATGGGATGTCTATGGTCCCGACTGAACTTTCCAAAGGATGGGATCAATTTTCCAAGCTCTACTTACATTGTCTGGCCAAGTTTTTTTTTTTTTTAAGCTTTAGCAAGGATTTATTTTAGTATAATAGGATAAAGTAGGAAGAAATTTAAAGGGAAGAGGGAAAAGACATCTCCTGCTTGCAGTGCAGGGGTAGGAGACAAGCTCTTGCCCAAGTTTTTCTAGGACCAAACAGCACAGAATCAAGAGACAGTTGTCAAGAAGCAAGAACTTGTCTGCATCCTCCATAAACCTAACACGGCACCTTGGCCTCATTAAGACTTATTTCCGGTTGGGCGCCAGTGGCTCACGCCTGTAATGTTTGGGAGGCTGAGATTGGGAGGATTGAGGTTCGAGGCCAACTCAGTTCCTGAGACCCATCTCCAAAATATCCAGAACAAAATGGACTGGAGGTGTGGCTCAAGCAGTACAGTGTCTGCTTTGCATGCACCTAGTCTTAAGTTCAAACTCCAGTCCCACAAAGAAAAAAAAAAAAGACCAATTTCTGATGAAAACCCACAAAGCTACCTATCACAAAAGTGGCTGAGGGCACTCTCTCCCCAAAGCCTTCCTCTCTGCACTCACTGAAGCGCTGCTCTAGATCTAAGTCAGAGAAGCAGAGAAGGGGCACAGCAGGGGGAGGGGATGGCAGAACAAGAGGCACCAAAAGTTTACAATGCCCAAATTTTAGGCACAAAGTAAAAACTTATAGAACCAAATCAATTCAATTTTTTTTTTTTGTGGTACTAGGGATTGAACCCAGTGCCTCATGCACACTAGGCAAACACTATACAACTAAGCTACAGTCCCATCCCTCTCTTGATTTGTACACAGGCCAGGGAGCACATATTAAAAGAGACCAACAAGTTTGTGAATATACTAAAAAGTACTGAACTGTATACTTACAGATGGTAAGTTTTATGTTATGTCAATTATACTTCAGTTTTTAAAACATGAACAAAAGTAAATGAAGGGAAACCAGTGTCAAATCTGATGCCATACCTGGGTTCCAATACTCCAGTAAAACCACCCCACGTAGGAAGGGTGCCGGAACCAAGCATATACCCCACTTGTCACAAGAGTGTGGGTATCTGACTTTTCATTCTGTACCACATGGTTGAAATTGGAGCCAGCTGTAAACATGGCAGCTTTCCTCAGGCATTCTCCAAAGACCACCATCAGCAGCCCTGTGGCACTGAGCCAGGTAATCTGCTTCAGTTCTGTAGAGAAAGACATCAGGGAGTGAGGACACTGGACTGTTGCTCTCACTTCTTCATTGCTTAAAATTAGCCTATTTCCCCAAAGATAGAAAACAGGCCTGTGGATCATTAGCATTTGTTGTCACATTAAAATTGAATGATAAGACAACATGGCCCTTCCCTCCTCCCAGCCGCTGTTCATCCATTTACGTTAAAGTGCCAACAACCCAATTATGAAGCAGTCCTCCTCTCCTAGACAGATGGGCTGTGGGCTCTCATTCCCCAGTCACACACTTGCTCATGTCCTTCTCCTTGGGGAAGCCCATAAGGGTCCAGGTTTAATCCTGGGAATAATGTATTTCCTATCCCCCCCATTGGCTATGCGAAGTTTGATTTCAGAGTGGGCCCCAGATACAGAGATTTTTGCTAATAAAACCTTCACGTGAAATTTCTCACACCACAGAAAATGCACAGATCTAAATTAACCACGTCTGACTGCAAAGGTAGGATTACAACCATCATTTTAGATGGTGCAGTGCATTAGGCAAGGTTTAAAGCAAAGGTCAACACGTCCTGGATTCAAAATCCAGAAGCAGAATTCTCGAGTGGAGCCTGTCCTTTATAAATAGCTTAGTGAGAGTTGGGGAGAATCCCCTGGGGAGATTAGACCTGGAAGGTGAACCAATGTCACTGTCCTCAGCCTGAAAGAAAGGCACCCTTCTCCTCTCCCGAGGGGAAAGTAGGGCACACTAACCTGGCCAAAAGATATTTTCAAGTGTGAACTCTATCCAAGAAGAAAGAGCAGCCACTGTGTACTCCAGACTGTGATTCAGGAGAAAGGAGTCCAAGGACAGACTTTTGGGATTATTGACAGCTGTCACTAAGTATTCGGAATAGTGGAATAATGACAGTGAGCACACATACCTATTTAAAAACAAAAAGAAAGAAAGGTAAACTGGGCAACAGAACTGAGTTAGCCATAATTAAAGCACACAGTTGGATATGCTGGACTGTCCCTAATTCTATAATGAGGTCCTGTTGTCACCTGCCTGAGTGGACATCAGGCACTCACACATAGCATTTACTCCCTCCGGTTTGCAGAAAGTGGGGTTTTTAAGTTGTTTTTGAATGTCATAGACAAAAGAAAAACTCCACAGGTGAAGAGGCATTATGGTCCCTTTAGTCCTTTTTAAATGGTAACACACATTTTAAAATGAAAGAGGGAAATAGCAACAAAAAGTAGTGATGTATGTTGGAAACAAAACTCAACCAAACTAAAATAATACTAGGAAAGAAGGATCAGATGGCTCGGCATACTGATAACAGGAGATGAAGCTTTTTACCTTGAAACCATGGTCATATCCAGGTCAGAGACTAGAAGGCTCAAGGGACTGAAATCATAGTGTAGGGAAAAAATCCTACACTGGCTGTGGGGGATGCACTCACTAGCCGTGACCTAATAGAAATTGGAGACGGAAAAGGCTTAGGAAGAGCAGCCGAAGCCTTGCCCCTTCCCATCACCAAGGACCTGCACCCCCTTCTGGGAAGGGCTCATCACCTTACTGAATGCTGTCACAACACTGCAGGAGGGCACCTTTGGGGAGGGTGCCAGGGAGACCCATTCTGTGCAACAGATCAACCAAGGGACACAAGTTTACAAGACGAACACGTGGGAATCTAGGGAAGGCAGGAGGCTTCATTTCCACAGAACCCCACCAGCCTTCTGCCAGAGATGAGCCACAGGGATGAAGAACTACCACTACTGGCCCTCTACTCTGTCCACCCTCACTTCAATACCATTCCCAAAGTTCCTCTTACCAGCCAAAGTGATTCCAAGAAGACTGGCTAAAACTTAGCAGCACACCGCAGCCAAACACAAAGCCAAGGAAACAAGCTCGGATGGCTATCTGAAACGGACCCAAAAGGAGCTCAGTCACTGGCTGTTCTCGGTGCACAAACCCAGGCTGCTGCCCTTCGGGGGATAAGCAGGCCACTGGCGATCATGACTCCATTTACTCTGAGGGTAAGAGGGTGAAGCAGGGCTGCCTCCGTTCAAATCTTGCACTCACTCCCCCTCCCCCTCTGGCTCTGTGACAAGTTACCTAAAACTCTGTGGACCTCAGTTTACCGGGCTACACCATGGGGATAACAACAGTACCTGCCTTTTAGCACAGCAGTGAGGATTACCCTTATAAAGCACCTAGGAAAAAAACTAATAACAGAAAAAATAACCTGAAATTATTATTATTACTGCTATTATTATTCAGGGCTTTGAGAAAACTGTTCAAAACTAATTTACTGGCGGATGAGCCCAAGTCCCAAGTCCGGCGACTCTGCGCCCAGCCCCCTCCTGAACCACGGGCCTTTGGCAGCAGGTGAGACTCCACACCTTACATTACATAAAAAAAAAACAAAACCTCGCTCACTACCCACCCCACGCGCATCTGCTGAACAGCACGAACTGCAATTTAACACCCACGGCACGGAGAGGCGGGTCCCGCCTGTGACCTGAACTCGCGGCCGACGAACACGGCCCATAGGGGGCAACTCTTGAGTAGGGAGAAAAGGTGCCCAAGAGCCACGCCGCGCCGCCCCGCGCAAAGACCACCGCCCAGTCTGGCTCCTGGCCCCCAAATGACCCCTGCTCAGCCGGGCTCCGCAGGACGAGTCCTGGCCCCGACTGCCTGCCCGGTCGCACCCGCCCAGCCCCTGCTGCCCGGTCCCCGTCCGGCCCCGATCCCCGCCCGGCCCTCACCTGGTAGCGTGGCGGCCGGTAGAGCAGCAGCAGCAATGCATTGAGCCCGGCCACATAGAGCGCCAGCCCGGTGCGGCCCTGCAGGCCGGCGCGCGTGAGCAAAGGCAGTGCGAGCACAGAGGCGCCCAGCAGGAAGGTGGCGAGGCTGAGGCGTGCCTCAGAGCCCGGCGGAACCCGCGCCGCGCAGCCCGCCATGGCGCAGAGTGGCTGACTAGCCGGCAGCAGACAAGCAGGCAGCAGCGCCTACTGTAGCCCGGGAAACCCGTCGGCCGCGCCTGCGCACTGCACCGCCGACGCCGGGCCAGGAAGGGCAGCTGCCCGGAGCCGCGTGCCGCCTGCGTGTTCTCGCGAGAACACCGCCCGCCGCGGCCGGCGGCCTGAATTTGGCGGGAGGGCCCCGCCCCTCCGGCCCCGCCTCGACCCCGCCCCGAGGCCCCCGAGGACCGCCTGACCCCAGCTGGACCAAGATCAAGCTGGTTAGAGAAGTTGCCCTGGCGTCTGCTAAAAGTTGGCCCCAAATTCAAGAAAGTTCCGGTCCTGAGAAACGATTTTCGTCCTCCTCTCCCGAAACCTGACACTAGGCAGCGCGCAGGCGCGAACGGGGACTGCGGACTGAGTCCGCGAGCGGCGACCCCAGGTCATCTTTCTCTGGTCCCCAGGCAGATGGTGCCTGCGGCGGGGTGCAGTCCTAGGAAGCACCCCAGTCCTCACAGTCGGGCATGCACGCGACAGGATCGCCGTCTAAACAGTGTGGAAGAAGAGTGGCAGTGCTCAGGGTATCCTGCGGGTTTTAAAAAGCACAGTGTGGTCTGACTTCACCTGGGGGAAAGAAGCTTATACCTGAGCCTGGGAAAATGAAATGTAAGCCAAGGTCTTTGATCATTCAGTGCCTTTTTGGTGGTGGGTTTTTTGTTGGCTTGTTTTGCGGTACTGGGGTTTGAACTTTGGTGATGGGTTTTTCGAGTTAGGGTCTCTGGAATTACTTGCCCGGCCTGGCTTCGAACTGCGATCCTCCTGATCTCTACCTCCTGAGTAGCTACGATTACAGGCGTGAGGCACCAGAGCCCGGCTGACTTTAGAGGTTTTTGTGTTTTCTAAAATGACTACTATGAACATATGTCACTGTTATAATGAGAGATTTTTGTTCCTGTTTGCTTTATTTAGTAAATTTTTTGGTTGCATTGGGATTTGAACTCTTACCATTTGAGCCATGCCCCCAGTCCTTTTTGCTTTAGTTATTTTTCAGATAGGATCACGGGGGTTTTGCCTGGGCAGTCCTGGGACATCCACAATTGTCCTCTCTGCCTCCCGTCTAGCTAGGATTATTATTTTTATTTTTAAATTATTTAATTTTGTTTTTCCCCAGGATGACCTCAGACTACGATCCTTCAGATCTCTGCCTCCCAAGTAACTGGGATTACAGTGTTCGCCACTGCACCGGGCCCCACTTTTTGATTTTTCATTGACACTAGACTTGTATGTATTTAGGAGCTAGAATGTGATGTTTTGGTTATGTCTACATTGGGTAGTGATCAATTCAGGGCAGTTAGCATATCCATCACTTTAAACTTCTATCATCATGGTGAGTGTATTAGAATTACTCTCTCCTAAGTATATGGATATATCTAATGTGTTATTGCTTTCTGCTTGTGTTTTTTGGCAGTACTGGGGGTTTGGACTCAGGGCCTCACACTTGCTAGGCAGGTCTTCTCTCACAAAACATGCAAGCCCTGTTTTGTGTTGGGTATTTTCAAGATAAGGTCTTGAGAACTATTCCCCAGGCCGGCTTCCAAGCCTGATCCTTCTGATCTCTGCCTCCTAAGTAGGTAGACTCACAGACAGACCTGAGCCACCAGCACCCAGCTGTATTATTTTTTATATTCACTCTGCTGTGCCTTAGAACATCAGAATTTATTCCTCCCATCACATAATAACATTGTATCTGACATCAGCCTCTCCCCTACTCTTCACTTTTTTAAAGGCTTAAATGTTGTCATCCCTGGGAGCTCAGAGAGCAGCAATGCAGGGGAAGGGCAAGGAAGAAAATGGCTAGAATAAGCAATGCAGGGTGTGATAGAAGTAAAATAAGGTTGAGGTGAGAGAGGGGTGAGAGAGGGGTGGGAGAGAGCCCCTGGGATGGAAGGGCAGCAGGGTGGACAGGCTGCATGGAAAAGATGCAGGGGCCAGGCCTTGGGCTTTTAGGGACTAGCACTGGCACGCCTGCCTGCCCCTGGAAATGAGAGCACTGGGGGTGAGGGGGTGGCAGGGTAGAGGGGGGGAGAAGAAGGGAGGAAGAACTGGCACTGACCTTGAAAGGCAGAGGTAGGAAAGAACAAGCCTGAGGCAGGATGGGGGAACAGGCCCCAGAGGAAGCTGGAGCCCAGGGTGGTAGTCAGCCTTGAGGCCTGTGAACTGTGAGCCCTGCATTGGAACCCCTCACCTCCTGTCCCTGCAGGTCCTGGCAGGAGCCCTAGTGGCTGTCCACACAGATGGAGACATGGGCTGGCATCACAGGCTCCAATACTATATGTCCTAGCTTGGTGATCTTGTGCAAGTCAATTCTGTGAAGCTTTGCTTCCTGTAAAATGGTGATCTAATTTCACTGTCAGGGATTGGTACTCCTATAAAGCCCTGTACCATGTTGGGATGGTCTAGAATGTATGGGAATGGTGCTCAGGGGACCATGTGCTGAGCTCTGGTAACGGGAATTGCAAAGATCTAATATCTTCAAAACCAAGGTCAGGATGTCGGGGAGTGGCTCAAGTAGTACAGCACCTGCCTAGCAAGCTGTGAGGCCCTGAGTTCAAACCCCAGTACCACCAAAAAATCAATAAACCCACAAAAAAACAATAACCAGGGCCAGGCTGGTGATGTGCTCAGTGGTAGAGCACTTACCTAGCATGCCAAGGGCCTGAGTTCCATCACCAGCACAGCAAAACAAAAGAAAACCAAGGTCATAAACTGTTACTGGGGTCTAAGAGCAAGAGTTCCTGCCAGACTGAGGACCTCCCCTCTGTGCCAGGACACCTCAAGGCCACCAGAGGGTGCTCATCGCACCTTCACTTCAGGGAGTTTGGCCTGGGGGAAAAAAACCATTCCTGCTGGGGGAAGCTCCTCCTCTGGCTCTGGGCTTTGACTCTCCACTCATTCTGAGGGCTTGCTTTATTCCCAGGGACGGACTATCGCCATCCTGGGGGCACAGGGTACCATGTAACTCCAACTGGAGAGCCTGAACGATACTCTGTCCTCTGCCCATCACCTCCCCTGAGGCTTCATCAGCCCCATGTTGGAGATGGGAGAAAGAAAAGAGAGTCAGCCCTCTTCCAGGTGGGGCCATACTCCAGGGAAGGGGAATTTTTAGAAGTTGCTGGCATTGCTGAATCTGCCGGGCTCACACAGCAGTGATGGAGAGAAGCAAGTAAGCATATCTGTACAACTAGGCATGCATATAACTCAGAGAAACAGAGACGCACAGACACACAGGGAAACACACAGAGACTTGCTTTCCCACCAGAGAGGAAAGTAATCTGATCAAGCTCCCCTCTAGACTGGGGGTGGGGGGAATGACAGCCCTGCAAAAATGTAAGAAAGGGGAAAGTCCTCAGTCCTGAGTTGCCTCCCTTGTCTTTCCTTGTAAATAAGCATGTGAATGTGTTTTGTTCGAGGAGCTTCCAGGCAAGCACAAAGGGGACCCTTTCTCATGCAGTAGGGTCCCTTTGCAGCCCCCCTTCTCCCGTCCTGCCATCCCCTCACAGGCTAACATAGACTTTCTTTCCTATGCCCAACTGGGGATCCACCTTATTTTAGACAACCCTAAACATTTCCAAGTTAAACCACAGTCTGAGATGAAATCAGGCTTCTGTTTCTTAAGCAGGGTTGTTTTATTGAGCATGAGAGAATGGATATCCAGAGTAAGCAGGAGGCAGGTTTGAGACTAGGGCAAGGCATTCTTGCTTCTCACAGGTACTCAACCAAGCACCTCAATCCACACACGAGCTTCTCAAGATCCAAGTTTGCTCCTGTTGTAAATGTTATCCGAGCCTGAAACCAAGTAGGAAAATGTCCAGGAAGCTCACCTCTTCCTCCTTGATGATGGGTGCCAGGCCAATCATCTTCCAAAAGCTGGTCCCCTATAGCCTCTAGTCATTCACAGGCCTCCATCACGTCCAGTGTGCACATATGCACGTGGCGGCCGGGAGGGCACTGGTGAGGGGCCTGTCCACTGTGGCTCTAACTCTCTTTCCCCAGGAGACAGCCTGGTCTTCCAAAAGCTTTTTTTCCTCTCTGGCCATTCCAGGCTGGAGGAATGAAAGCACCTTCGCTGTAGTCTGGAAACGGGTAAATGATGTGTAATTTATGAGCACATCAACCCGAAGTACATAAGTCATATGTGCACAAAGGGGCCGGGTAAATATTTAAAGATTAGAGCCAGCTGGGGGGAAACACAAAAGGCTGGGACAATGGGGGTCTCTCTGAATTCACTCTCCCTGAGCTGGGCCAGCCTGGTCAGCGTTGATGCACTCACTGGAGTCCCAGCCTTTGTCCCCTGAAGGGCCCTCGGCTGCTGGGCTATTCGGAGTTCCAACACAGCTAAAGAGAGTTAAACAATTGCAGCCTCTCCAACCCCATCTGGAAACAATTGGCTGAGTCATTTCAGTGCTTTTGCTGTGTCCCAATAGTTAATTACACAGAGCAATCACTTCATTCCACTTTGAAATGCATCTGCAGAAGGGAACAACATGCTTCTTTCTCCAGTAACAGAACCCACAGGGTTCACCAGTTAGTACTGATTTAAATGCTCAGAAGTAGGGCAGGCATAGTGGCTCAAGTGGTGGAGTGCTTGCCTAGCAAGTGTGAAGCCCTGAGTTCAAACCTCATACCATCAATAAATAAATGTTCAGAAGTGCAGGAAGGAAAGGGCTCCCACTCAGGGCCAGTGGCTGCCAGGCCTTCACCTGGGACGGGAGGTGGGACATCTGGTAGGGCTCTTGTCCTTGAGCCTGCAAGCCCGCTCCCCACCTCGTTTCCAGACCTGACTTGACTTTCTTGTTTTGCCAACGTCAAGAAAACCAAAGGCATAAACCACTTTTACCTTAAAATTCTCAGGGTGAAACATTTTTCCTTGAATGAGCAAAGGGGGTCTGGGTTTCCCCAGCACTCCTCCTGGACCTGTACTCCTTTCCAGGTGCCTTGGGAACCCCAGCTGCTAAAGATGGAAAAGGAGTTGGTGGCCTACATCCCGGTTTGCGTAAGCCCGGTTTCTAAGTTGGTCCCTGAGTCCCTGACCTTCCCAGCAGCCAGAGAGCGCTTTGTCCTGCTTGCTCTTGAGAGGGCACGGTGAACTACGAGGTGCCTCACTCCCCACGTCTGAAAATGCTTTTCTCTGTTCCCCTTTGGAGCGAGGGTCTGCCCGAGGGTGCCCAGAAGCAGGACTTGCAAACTTGGCGGAGGAGTGGACCATGAGTCCGTAGGCTGGATCTCTGAGGAGGGGCTCAGTAGATTTGTCATCTTTTCCAGTGACCTTGTCGGAAGCAAAAGACTTGATTCACTAGTGGGGGAAGTGGCTCCAGAGGGAGGATCCGGAATTGGGAAAAAGTGGAGGTAGAGGGGGGGATGCTGTCTCAGAGCTCCAGGAAAAGGGAAATGAAAAGTACACGCGTGTCCCTTCTGGCCTTGATGCTGCACTGCCCTCAGCCCGCTGGAGGTGAGGAGCTGGCCAAGGGGGTTGTTTATGGAGGTGGTGAAATTCGGAGAGTAGGGGACATCCGCACCGATGGAGAGACCCCTGTCCAAGAACAAGCCACAGGGGACGATGCAGCCGGCGGTGCCGAGCTGGAGGTGGAGAGCAGCGGAAGCGGCGGCATATTAAATGGACCCGGGCGGAGTGTGACCGCTGAGAATCCCACCCGAGGCCTGACCTCCCGCAGCCAAAGCAGAACATTGCGAATTAGCGCATTTTTCGGTCAATTTTCCACTGCCTAAGGAACACTAAGCCACCCACGTGAGCAGCCCCACGCGGTGCTCCTGGGATCCCTGGGCACGGGCTTGGGAGGGGTAATGGTCCCTGAAGCAGCGGGTGTCAGGGTGCAGGCAAGGACAGCCCGGGCGAGGCCTTTTATGGTGACCCTAACTCTGGAGAGGGGGCGGGCCGGACACCCCGTTGCGGGCCGCGAGAGCTGCGCCCAGGGCCATTGGTTTGCTAATGCGCCGGGTTGAAAGGCGCGGGCGGCGGTTTATGGGAAAGGGTTGTAATTAGAAGACAAATTGCCCCGCTGCCGGCGCGGCTCCTGAACCGGGAGGATAGGGGGTGTCCCGCCGGGGAGAGGCGCGCGCTGGGCCTCCGTGCAGATGTGCAGCAGCTGGAAGCCCGCGCGCGGCGGGGCGCCGGGAGTTTGGCCCGGAGGGGGCGGGGGCGGACGCCGCTTTGTGAGGCCCGCACAATACCCTTAACACTCCGCTGCCCTCTTTGTGCCTGGCCGAGCCTCCCGGCCTCCCCGCGGCGTCTTTGTACCCCGCCGCCACTGCCCCTAGCCAGTAACTAGTCGCACGGAGGCCGCCCCAGCCCGGCTAACCCTGGCGCTTCAAAGCTGCCCGGCGCGTGCCAGCACCCGCCGTTAGGCCTCGGCCCTGCCGGCTGCCCCCGACCCAGATAGGCCCGGATCTGGCTCGCTGGCCCTATGACGGGGACAGGAGAGCGCCCCAGAGTTGATGTCGCCTCTGCCTCAGCCTGAAAGGGGGAGGGCGGGGCGCGATTCTCCACGCTGCTTGGAGCCTAGGAGCTGGCAGGTGGGGGTGGGGTGTGTAGGCGGGGGAAAGATGTCCCGGCCTGATGGAGCTGGCGGGCCACTAGCGACCGAGCAATTTCCCCTCCTCCCACACCGAGGCCCTGCAGAGGCTGGTTTGTTCATTGCTCTAGCTACAGGGATCAACTGCCTAACTTGTGTGACTTCATTGTGGCCTCGCAGGCAGCCATGGGGGAACTCATTGTCCAGAACCCCATTTTACAAATCCCCAAACTAAGGCAGCAGAGTCCAATAAAGGGAGGTGTCTAAGTTTGAACTCTGGCACTTCCCTAGAGATCAACATCCCATCAGTCACAGCTACTAGAGTCCAAATCTGGAAAACCACCTAAGGGGGACTGCACCAGAGTCCTGCTTGCTGTAGGGCCCAGCCTGTTCTGGAGCAGGTGTCCCATGTGCCTCCTCCACTGGGTTTCTGGATGTCCAGCCATAACATGAATAATGGAGAGGGGTTCAAGGACCTGGACCTCCTAAAGTGCGGGCTGGAACTCTTCCCCAGATATCTATGGTGTCACTCACCCCCAGCCCCCGATTTGTGGGATTCAGAGAAGGCCTGAGGGAGTTCAAATACAATTCCAGTCCTTCCCTATTGGGGGAATGGCCTGCCACCTGAGGAGCCAGTCTGGAAGCCCAGGATTGGGGGTAGAAGGTGGGGGTGGGAGGCGATGACCCACCTGCCTTCCAGCCAGAAGTGTCCAGGTTGGGTGTCAGCACTACAGTCTCAGGCCCCAACAAGGAGGAGGCCCGCTATGGCCTGGAGGGTGGTCTGCATGCTTTAATGGGACACGTGTTGCATCGTGGCCCCCTCAGGCCTTGCCTGTGCCTGGCTTTGAGCAGCCACAGGCAGAAAATCGCTACATTGTCCCAACATTAGGGCGACTAATTTGGCGTCTCAGCACAGGCCAGAGCGTGAAGTAAGTAGAAAGGCATCATTGGCCAGCCCTCCTAGTCTGGGCATCTTCATCAGTCCCAAGGCCCTGAGTTCTGTCATAGTCATTAGGGTGGCCTGTGGCCATGGACCTCCCTCCCCCGGTGGGCAACCCCCAGAATGCTGAGAGACAGGAGGCATTCAGGACTTGGCAAGTTGACCCAGAACCTATGCTGACTGGGACCAACTGGGCATGGAGGGGATGGGCCTGGGAGGGGTCCCCAGACTCCAAAGTGGTGGGAGCCAGAGAAATAAAGAAAAGGCAGAGAAAGGGGAAAGATGTCCCCGGGGAAGGAGGAGGGGTCCTGAAAGCCAAAAGGCAGCCTGGGCTATAGGAAAGGGGCCCCAGGGAGGGATGTGGGGATCATCCCCCCTGCATCCTTTTTTTATCTCCTCCCCCTCCGGGTGTTTCTAGTTCTGAGGACCTCATTGACATGTAAACGAGGGTCCCCTATAAAGGCAGTGCTGCCTCCTGACAGCACAAACATCGCAACATGGGCACAGAGCCCACTCCCCGGGGCAGCTCCAGTGGCCCAACCAGCAGCTTCCGAAAGGTCTGGGGTCCTGAAGGTTGGGGTGGGCGCCCTTCCTGGGCCAGTGGGAGTGGAGGGCGGGAGGGCCAGGGCCAGGTCGCACTAAAGGCTGTTGGTCTGCAGATCTCTAAGCCGCTGATGGAGAAGAAGCGCCGTGCACGCATCAATGTGTCCCTAGAGCAGCTCAAGTCACTGCTGGAGAAACACTATTCACACCAGGTAAGATATGAAGAGGATCCCATACCTGATCCCCAACCTCACCCCTTCACCTCAGTCTGTCCAGCTAAGAGACCTTTCCACGGATTGGCAGATCCGGAAACGCAAGTTGGAAAAGGCCGACATCCTGGAGTTGAGTGTCAAGTACATGAAAAGTCTTCAGAACTCATTGCAAGGTAGAGAGGGAGGGCCTGGAGGGGCTGGAGTAGAGTGCTGTGAGGCCACAGCCATGGATATGACAAAGCTGGGTAAAGGAGGGATGGACCAGACCTGGTGGTGCTTGCTTGTAATCCTAGCACTAGAGAGATTGAAACAGGAGGATCTGGGTTCGAGGCCAGTCTGGGCTACACAGCGAGACTCTGTCTCAATTTTTTTTTTTTAAACGAGGGATGGTTGGAGAGAACTCCCAACTGGTTGAGGAGGGGCCACTAACAAGCTGGGGTGGAAACAGGAGGACCAGCAAAGGCACGCCTGGCTATGGGCTTGTGATACAGTTGGGCAGAGGTCTGCAGCCAGGGGGGACACTAGGGTCGTCTCACTTCTCCTTTCTCTTCTCCTTCACACTTCTCCCTCCACTCCTCTCCTGTCTCTTATTCTCTCCTCCCCCTTCCTCCCCATTTCTCCCATCTGCTCCCCTCCCACCAGGGCTCTGGCTGGTACCTAGCGGAGCTGAGTACCCGTCGGGCTTCCGAGGCTGCCTACCCGGCGTAAGCCAGCGCCTTCGGCGCGGAGAGGAGGGTGGTGGCGGCCTGCGCTGCCCCCTGGTGCCCGAGCGCGCGGGCGGCAGCACCATGGACAGCGTCAGCCCTGTCCCAGAGGCGCGCTCTCTGCGCCGCCCCTGCGTCCCCGCTGTTTGGGCTCCTGTTCCGGCTGCCGGCGGCTCCCGGTCCCCGCCACCCCGGCTTCTCCTCCCCAGAGATCTCCCTAGCTCCTCTACCAACATCCCAGAGCCACCACCAGCGTCCTGCCGCCGAACCGAGAACCCCGAACCCGGGCTGCGCGTGTGGCGGCCCTGGTGAGACCTTTGCAAGACCTCGTACTGAAGACCCCCGCCATGTGGTCTGGAGACGCCGAAGCCATTTCGCGAGCACCCATAGTTACTGCGGGGGACCCCTCACTCGCCCGTTCTGGTCGTGGGGCAGGGATGGTCTGTGGGCGCTGCCCACACATGAACGTGGATAGACACACCGAGCCAACTCGGGTCGGGTCTACAAGTGTGGGCAGAAGCACCCCTACTCCGGCCCCACTTACTCAGGCCAGATCCACTTTCTCCTCCTCTCACCTCCAGGGGGACTGGAAGGGGATGCCCTGGGCTGCGCTTGTTTCCCAGGGACCCCGGGCAGGCAGCCCGCCCCTGCCCCCGCCCCACGGCCGCGTCGCGATGGGAAGGTCGCAGTCGGCAGCGGCGCAGAGCGGACCCCTTGCAGCGAGGAGAATCGCTGCCCCGCCCCGGCCCATTCAGCCCGCGGCGGGCGCCCAGTTCCCACCGGCACAAAGCGCGCCGGGCCCCGCCCCACCAGCGAGGGGCTCCCAACCAACCCATCCCCACACGGGACCCTCTCGGCTACCATCGACACCCACCCCCACCGCACGCGGCACGGCCCACCCGCCCGGAGCGCTTTCCTGGGCTGGCCTTTAATGAAACACCCAGCTTGTGGGCCCCCGCTGCCGGCCCTGAGCACGGGCCCCGCCCCTAAGGGGCTCCGCCCACTCGTAGTCCCGCCCCGTCCCGCTCGAGTTCTAGGTCCGACTCATTGCTTGGCTGGGCCAGCAAACCGTGTGCAAGAGCAAACCCCGGAGTCTGTCGTGGAAGCAGGAAACATTCCTCTCTGCAAAGACGCCTGTCTAGCATGTGTGGGACCGGAACCCGCAGAGCCCACGTCTCCTGACCCCCAGGATCGTCAGAGAGTCTACAACCATCGGTGGTCCTTGGAGGGCTCGGCACCTGTTTATTCGTCCATAAATGAGGTCATTGCTGCGCTCGGACTTTGGTGGTGGGAGATTTTAAGTCAGTTTTTCTTCCTCTGGGCTTCTAGCAAGGGGGCAGTCTGGGTATGGGGTCCGAGATCCTGGCACCTCCATCCACCAGTTTGTAATTAAGAATAAAGACAGGGCGAACCTCGGGCGTGGGTATAAAGAGGCCACGGAGGTCCTAATTTCTACGATGCCCATAAACTAAGCCCATTCTGTTCCCATTGCGAGGAGGACTCACGATGCCTTGGCGGCCCACTCCAGTGGGCTCTCTGGAGCTAGAACGAGGGCAGAGGTCCCAGCTAGGGCCATCTCCTGGGTCCCCACTTCCCCGGGAGTTGAATGGGAGAACACCACTGCTGTCACCAGGTGGCGGCCTCGTTCCTCCGACCTGAAGGCGAGGCCTCCGAATTCCAGCGTGGGGGGTCTGCCTTAGGGACAGGTCTCTCGAGGTCTGGCTCCAAGTGCCCTTCCTTGCCCTGCTCGCATTCTGGAATCAAGTTCACAGTGACTGGCAGACCCTGGCAGCATTCTAGGATCAGGGGTTGGCACTTGCACCAAGGGCCTTTTCTTTGGTGCGCTTTGGTACCCATTCATTGCTGCATAATGGTGGCTGCTTCAGGTCTGTAACACTTGTTTGGAGAAAAGGGGCAAATCCAACCAATGGCACACTAGCCTAGGAATTCAGGCTCCAGAAGGAGACATTTGGGAGCAGCTGGCCAGTCCTGCCGTTAGGTTCTAGAAGGATGTTTTCATGAAACCAGGCTCAGAGTGCGAGATGCAAATCATAAGGAAATTGTATTGGGTCCTGTACAGAAGAGAAACGCTGTTTTCCAAAAACTACAAACAGATCCTTGGCTCTGGGCTGAGTGGCGGTATGTAGACAGAGCTCCCTCCCCACAAAGTTCAGGGTCAAGCTCTTCATAAACACAGCCAGGCCTGGGAGCTGAACGGTGTGCAAGTGAGCCCCAGGCCCCAGGGTCCTCTGCTTGGGATCCTCCCGGTAGATTCAGGGGAACCTTGTCCCCGCTGCAAGTATTGCCATTGGATATGAAATACAGAGAGTGCAAACCCAAGGTGACAAGTGGGCCAAGTGGCTAGCTGGTGGGCTCTGTCCCCGGATGACACGCCGGTCCTTGAAGGCACAGTAGCATTGGCCATGGCAACCCCTTCTAAGGCTAGGGCTGGACTAACTGCAGTCCCCTGACTTGCTCCCTTGTGGCCAGCTCATTTCCCACTTACACCACAGCCAGGGACTACAGGGGCTTCTGAAGCCCATCGTTTGGCATTCACCTGTCCCCACCCCCAGCAGCCTCTTCTGGAGCTGGAACCCCATCTGGGAGGAGGAGATGGACCTGGTCACCTGAGGGGCAGAGAGACAGGCTAGGTTTGTGCTGTCTTTGAAACTGGCTTCAGGGCCATATTGAGGGGCTGCTTTAGGATGGCAGGGCTATTCCTGGGGCCTTTCCTTTGCCTGGGAAGGTTCAGGCCTGTGGCAGAACCCAGGCCAGCTAGAGTCTGCCCAGGAAGGACAGCAAAGACAGCCCTGTCCCATCCTTTGCCAAGGGCCACCCCTGCATAAGTGAGGGACTGGAGATGGGCACTGGGATAAGGAAGCCCACTGCCTCCCTTTGGTTTAGTCCTCTCTGCACTGTGTACCCACAACTTTCACAGTGGGAGTCAGAGTGGCTGATGTGGTGGGGGACAGGAAAAGATGGTGGAGAAATGAGTACGAGGACACTAATAGGAGTCAGGGTGGCCTTGGTGCCAATAGTGATGGTGCAAAAGTGTTGTGCTTAGCTGGGGTGGAGTGAGTCCCCAAGGGGGAAAGGGGCACTGAAAGTGGAAGGCCTCAGGCCTGGGGACCACACGCTGAAAACTGACCCTCACAAAGGACCCTCAAGAGGGCCCTAGATGACCTCTCAGATCTGGTCCACTCAGTGGCAGACTTCTTCAAACAGCCCTGAGAGATACCATGGTCACCTGCTCATGACAGATAGGGAAAGGAGGCAGAACAAGTCACAGACAGGGAGACCGATGCAGAGAGCTTGACCCGGCTCTGAAGACCCCTGGGCTTAAAAAGAACCTGCGGTTGCAGCACAGAGTAGAACGCAGTGTGCAGTCCAGTGGCTTCTGGTTCCAGTTTCTCTAAGGCTGGGACTTTGTTCTACTGGTGGCCCTGTCCCAGGGTTCCCTGCACTCCTAGGCCAGTTGCAGAGGGCCAGGAAAGGCACAGTCAAAGTGCAAATGTCATCCCCTATCCAAGTCTATCCTCCCTCTGCCTGCCCAGGAGAGGCTGTGCCCAGCAGTGGGTTCATGCCAGTGCAGTCTTCCAGGACGGCCAGTGGCTCCCTAGGGAACACCGGCAGCGAGGAGCCAGAAGCCAGAGGCGCTGAGGCCTCTGCTCCCTCACCCCTAGGAGGGGTGGTGCAGATCTGGGCGCGGGACACAGTGGCTTCTTTGGTGCTGTGGCCCCACCTGCCTGGCGTCCATGGGGAGGCGCTGGCGGACCCTAGGTCGCCGAGCCCAGCGAGTCCGAGTGCAGCGTGACGTAGCCCGAGGACTCGGAGGGCGAGCTCAGGAAGCTGCTGGTGCTCCCGCCGCCGCCCACCGCGTGCAGGCCGCCGGCTTCGCCCCACGACGCGCTCAGGCCGCTCTGCAGGGGCCCGGCGTGCGCACGCGCGGCTCGGCGCGGCCCGGGGCTCCGCCGTGCGCCGCTGCTGCCAGGGGGCGGCGGGGCGTCGCCGGGCTCCGCGCCGTCGGGGGCGGCCGGGAAGGGCCGCGAGGGGGCCGGCAGGCGGCGCAGGGCCTGCGGCTCGCGCTCGAAGGCGGTCAGGGCGAAGGCGTCGGGCAACAGCGAGGCCGAGGCGGAGCGGGCGCCAGGCCCAGGGCGGCGGCGCGGGCTGCCGGGCGGCGAGTCGTGGGCGCGGCGCGGGCCGCCGTCCAGGCCCGGGGGCCGCAGCGACAGCAGACTCTCGGCCGAGCGGCGGCGCGGGCGGAATGGGGGCGCGTCCTCAGCAAAGGCCAGCAGGCTGCCACGGCGCTGGTCCGGCTTGCCCGGCAGCACCAGGTGGGCCAAGGCTGCCAGGTCCTCACCAGAGCCCCAGCGTGGAAGGAAGGGGGGCAGCGGGGCGACAGCCCACATGTCCGTGTCGTCGTGGGAGAAGCGCCGCGTGGGCGGGACCTGTGAGGACCCGCCGGGCTTTAACCAGGAGCTGCCCTCTTTGCACCCTGCAGGGCAGCCTGGTTTGGAGTGGTGAGTTTTGGGGCAAGTGACAGTCTCTCTGGACCTGTGTCATCTGAAGCTTGGGTTGGTTGGGGAGAAAACAACAGACACCAGCAAAGATGGAGGCTGGGGTGCCTCCCTCTGTGGATACACAGGCTCTGTGATTTCACGCCAAATCAGAGGGAGTTCAGAGGAAAGGGGGTGTCAGAACGGCCCACCACCCACACAAGGGGCCCCTCCTGCCCTGCCTGGCGCCTACCTGCAGGTACTGCATCTTGTCTTCCTGCAGGGGCTGCAGGGGGTAGAGCCGGGGCAGGCCTCCCTCTAGGGCGGTGAGTTCATACTTGGCCATCTTGTCCAGGCCTACAAAGTCACCTCCACAGCTGTAGTCGAGGGAGCGTTCCAACACCAGGTCGGGGGGGATGTCACCCTCCAGGCTGGTCTCTGCAGAGTGGGACAGAGGCATAGGACCATGGAAAGTGGGGGCATCTGGGAGTCCTAGGGGCTCCCCATAGACATGCAAGGCAGAAACCTGGTTAGCCAACAAAGGGCAAGGTTGAGGTCCTGGGTTGAAGTCTCTGTTATGCCACCCTTTAGCTGTCTGGGAGTCTGACGGCTGTCAGGCAGTCTGGGAGGTGACATCCTCAGCTACATTCCTCACTAGAGATAGAATACCTTGTAGGACACTGGCTTGGGGTGATAAAGGAAGTGTCTGGCGGTGGTGAATGGGGCATCTCCAGATAGCTGTTTTCCCACTGACCCCAGTGACCTCATCTAGGTGCCTCCCTCCCACGGGCACTCTCAGGTCATCCTCACCATCCTCTGCGTCCTCATCGTTGGCCACGAGGGCCATGCACTTCTCCCAGACAGCCTTGAGGTCAGCCCGGTAGCGGTCACACGCCCAGAGGAACACAGGCAGCAGCAGCGCCTGGGTCACGGAGCACCACAGCACACAGAGAGCCATCCAGGGCGCAGAGGCATCAGCCCGCAGGCTCCTGAAGCTCACCACCTGTGGGTGGTTTCACAGGGCCCGGCCTGACCAGCAGGTCCCCTCCCTCACTGCCCTTCCTGGCCTCAGTTGCCCCAGCTGTACAGCAGTTCTCTGACCCATTGGCCAGAGGAGCAGGTCGTCCCAGGAAGACCTCTAGATTCTCGGAGGAGAGCATCAGAGTGGAGGTGGGAGTTCCTGCACACGGAGTGCTGCCCAGCCCAGTATACTGTGAAGGGCTGTTTGTGTACAGCCCTTCACAGTATACTGGGCAGCTCTGGACATCTTCTTTCCCACATCACTCCCATGTTTGCCCATGGAGAGAAGTGGGCAGCTTCCTGCTTTGGAGGAGAGGGACAGGCTTGGAGAACCAGGTTTCAGCTGACCTGTGACTAGGGGTCTCCTCAGCCCTGCCCCTACTCCAGGGGTGTAGGGCTTAGACCTCAGAGGAGATTTTAAGAGCAGAGTGTCCAGCCAGGTGCCTATGGGTCACTTCCAAGGGTTCACTCAATTCTCCAGTCCCAGGAGAGGCCTTATTGTGCCCTCACCCACCTGGAGAGTGTTTAACAATTCCCATGACTGAGTGGAAGTGAGACACCATGTTGGTTCTGCCTACCATTTGTGAGCTGTGTGACCTGGAGAGAACCATTACACTCTGGGACTGTTTTTCCATCTATGAAACAGGCTAAGAACACCTCACGTTATCTGCAGAGGGTGATACTGACACAAAAGGCCATAGACATGCGGTAAGCTCCATAAATGACATCCCCTTCCCTGCTCTGAAGAGAAGCTGGGGTGAGCCCCTTACCCCTCCCAGGCTCCACTCTGATCCCACAGTGCTTTGTGGTTTCCAGAGCAATTTCACAGTTTCTTCCCTCCCATCAGCACAGGGACTGGTGATGCCTGAGAACCCTATAGTGGAGGGTAGCAGGTCTGCTGGGAGTGGAGCAGTGGGATAGCAGGGGCTACCTTTCAAACAGGCCCCCTGACTCTGATGCTGCCACCCCAGCCGTCTCTCTGGAGCTGTGTTCTACAGGGCCTCTTGGGATGAGGCCCTCCCTGTGGCATGGATGAAGCCTGGACTCAGCTCCTCTCCCTGTCCTGCTCCAGACCTCTTGCAGCTGGAGCCCTGAGGTTGGCTACTGAGTGCATACCTCATTCTTGGGCCAGCCAGTTCCCAGAAAAGACCCCTGGCAGTCCCAATGGACCTTTGACCCTTGTGTGAGGCCTTCCTCAGATTAGCTGTCACCCTGACCTTTCCCAAACCTTAGAATCAAATGCAACTTCCCAGAAAACATTCAAGGCCTGTCCTGGCCTTGCTCTGTCCTCACTCAGGTCCCCATTACCTACCCGTCATATCCCAGGACCTGGGCCCACTGGAGGGTCATTGGGCGTGTTGCCTCTGTATTAAAGGGGCCTCAGGTGAGGGGAGCAAGTTTCTCTGAAGTGGGGCAGGAAGACCCGATCGTCTGATGTGGGCTCAAGTCCCACATATGATTGCCCTGGCTTTCAGCAGTTCATTTATCTCTCTGGACTTCACTTTCCAAATCTGTAAAAGGGGGTGATAACCTGCATCTCAAAACATCGGGCTTAAGGGTTCAACCACCTAACGCCCACCCCTGTCCACGTCTCCCAGGGCCCCTTCCCAACACCCACACCCACCAGCACAGGGAAGCCCATGAGACAGTCATAGATGACCACGATGGCAGCCACCAGGCCTGTGATCTGCAGCGAGGTTTTGGCAGGCTCCGAGCCGTCGATGGAGGAACGGCGCTTGCCCTGTGCGTCCTCTACCACAATGGTGGGCACGGTGAAGGCACGGCGGTCAGCACGCCGCCCGCCCTGCACAGCCAGCGTCTGGAAGAGGGTGATGGCTGTGCAGACCACGCCCATGGCCACACTGCCACCCACCAGCAGCAAGAAGCAGACGCCGAAGCCCAGGCCAATCTCCGCCACGATGAAGCGGCAGCCATGGGTATAGAATCGTTCACTCGTGTCGTGCCAGCCAACAGCAGGCAGGGCTGACAGGATGAAGGACACCATCCAGATGCCCATGACGGTATGCACTGCCTGCTTCTTGGCGTTGCTCAGCCTGGCGTGGGGCAGGGCAGGACAGAGGAACCCAGTGTCACTGAGAGGTTCCTGCTTCCCACCCCCCTCCCCACATCATAGTCATGGCACAATCACGGTGAGACCTTGTTCCTGGCATAGGAGATGAACATGTACACTGTCGCCAGGCCTTTCTGAACTGGTCACTTGTATACCTAGGTGCACGTCCCCAACAGCCTAGTCACCCCCCCACCTCCCTGCCCACCTCAGGGGATTACACTAGGGCTCTCGCGTGCACACAGGTACACCAGGCATGTCTTTGTGTCATGCACACACCGCTCCTTCCTTAGGACACTGGACTCTCTTGTGCTTGCTCACCGGTAGTTGACAGGCCAGCGGACCATCCACATGCGGTGGTAGGAGAGGGAGGTGACCGAGAAGCAGGTGGCCAGGGTGAGGGTGTAGAAGGTGGACACGAAGACCTTGCAGAGACCCTCGTTCCACTCATAGTCAGGGCGCTGCCGCCGCAGCTGCACCACAGCGTAGGTGGCGATGGGCACCGCCACGTTGAGCATGTGGGTGGCGGCGAGTGTGCACAGCAAGAACTCCAGTGGCTTCCATTTCTTCTGCTTGGCACCAACGCTGAGGATGCCCCAGGCATTGGCCAGCAGGGAGAGGCCTCCACATGCCAGCCAGCCCACCGCACTGCCAGGCAGCCGCCGCTCATCACTCATGGTGCATCCTCCTCTGAGCCAGGCCTTGTTACAGAGCAGTAGCCCTCACCTGTAGCGGATCAAGGACATCAGGGACCACGAGCAGCTGTGGGGCAATGAGCATTCAGTGACTTCTCTTCTGACTACAGCATTAGCCCTTGGGGTCCCCCAGGTTGGGGGGGGTCCCCCATATGTGCTACTACCTGTCTGATCCTGGCTTATATCAGGCTGCTATTCACATCTCTCTGTGCCCTGGGGCTACCTGCCCAGGAGGCAGTACACAGGGGTGCCCCTCACTTCCACCCATTCCTGATCAAAGTTTGGAGTCTGGGCTTTTTCTTTTTCTTTCTTTTGTAGCACTGGGGTTTGACTTCAGGGCCTCTTACCTCTTGAGCTACTCCACTAACACTTTTTCATGATGGGTTTTTTTGAGATCGGGTCTCAGGAACTATTTGCCTGGGCTGGCTTCAAACCGTGATCCTCCTGATCTCTGCCTCCTGAGTAGCTAGGATTATAGACGTGAGCCACCAGCACCCAGTGAGTCTGGGCTTTCTTCCAGGTCACCTGCGTCCTCAGGCCAGGCACTTTTGCCCCATGTGTTCTAGCCCTGTCCCAGAACAATCCTTTTCATATCGTGTCCTCCAAAATTTTCCCATACCCATGCCAGGCTTTTTCTTGGATGTCTTAGGGACTTTGAACTTAATCCACCCATTTCACTTGGCCAAATGAAGCCGTGCCTGGGAGAATTAAGCCTCTCAAAGCTTTCTTTTCCCTCTCCTGCTCCTCCAAATGACCTGTGAGCTAGGGGTGAGCTGGTCACCACTCTCACACCCTGGAGTGTCAGTCTGCTCGTCTAGTCAAGACTCCAGCTGGCCTTCCCCAGCCAAGTTCCCATGAAGACCCTGGCACAGCCACAGGTGTGGGGGGTAAGACTCCAGCACACTGGCTGTGTGGCTTGGCAAGGTCCCTGGCGCTGCGTCCTCTGTCACGGGGACTGTCATGCTTCTTCCACAGGGAGGCTGGGGTAAACAGCCCTGGGCCCACATCTCACACACAGTGGGTGTGGTAGTCAGCAGTATGTCCTGGATGGCTTGGGGAGCATGGCCTGGAGACAGCCCAGACCTTGACTCTGCAGAACTGCCAGCTGCCTTTGGACCTAAGCCAGGGACATAAGATGGTGGCCAGGAGGTACGTGATGGGCAGTGCCCCATCCTGCCAGCAGGCTGAAGGACAAGCCTTCCCTCTCCCTTCCCAGCTGGGCAGTCTTCATCTCCCCCCTGTCTGTGCAGGACTGCCCAGCCACCCGGCCTGTATCCTAGAGTAGGTGGCACAGGGTGGTCTACAGTGTACTCTGTTGACACTTGGCCCTCCTCACCTGACAGCCTTTTAATCTCACTTTTTAATCTCACTTGCTACTTTATTCAGGCCTCTCACACTCATGGGCTCCTGCCACTAGCCAGGGCCACAGGATTCCCCTAGAGACAGCATCTCCAGCTTGGGGTGGGGAGGCCACTGTGGCCTTAGCCAAGCCCCTTGGCTCTCAGGCAGGGAAAGCAATGGTGTCCTGGCCAGCTGGCAGGCCCCTCTGCTGCTCTTGTCTGTAGTTTTTTTTTTAAACAATACTGGGATTTGAACTCAGGGTCTCACATTTGCTAGGTAGCACTTTACCACTTGAGCCACTCCACCAGTCCTTTTTTGGTTGGGTATTTTTGAGATAGGGTCTCATGAACTATTTGCCCAGGCTGCCTTCGAATCATGATCCTCCTGATCTCTGCCTCCTGAGTAACTACGATTACAGGTGTGAGCCACACTTTTGTTCCCGCTGTGTGGGATTGGGATTTGGACTCAGGGCTTCACACTTGCAGAGCAGGCGCTCTACTACTTGAGCCACACCTTGAGTCCGCTTTGCTATGGTTATTTTGGAGATGGGGGTCTTGTGAACTATTTGCCTGGGCTGGCCTCGAACTTCAATCCTCTGGATCAGCCTCCCAAGTAGCTAGGATTACAGGGGAGAGCCACTGGCCCTGGCTTGTCTGTAGTTCTTCACATCTATCTGTGGCCTGCTCCCCCAGCACATTCAGGGACCCTCAGGAATGTGTCTCATTCACTGTTGTGTCTCTGCCCCAGACCTGCCCAGACCCAGGGGAGGGCTCTAGTGTAGAAACCAGTGTCCTTTTCTAGCCTCCTGGGTGGGGGTTTTAGGGGTCAGGGAATTTCCTTCCCAAGGATTTCTTGGGGGGTCACTTCTTGCAAAGCAGTCTCCCCTTCTCCACCCAGACCCAGCATGGGAGGTAAGGTGGTCCTGTCCAACTCTATCAGGCACCCCTGTGTGCATTCAATTTAGGCTGCAGGACTCCAAGCCCAGCTCCCGGCTTGTTACTGGATGGCTCTGGGCCTTGGTTTTCTCATGTGTAAACCAGAAAGGACAGTGCCTACCTTGAAAAAGTGTTGAGGGTGGTTAATGGACTATGCCGGGGAAAGTGCTTACAGGAGAGTCAGACACCCAGGAAGCACACACTGCTTCCCAAGGACCAAGACACTGAACTTTAATGTATGGCTGAGGCTCAGACCTGCAGATGGATATTTAGTAGGGTCAGGACTTGAGAAAGCATGGCTTCAGGGGTGAGGAGCCACAGGGCTGAATCTGGCCTTTGGTGTGCCTGGCAGCCTACACGGGTTCACAGCAGGGAGTGTGGGAGACTGTGGTAGGCCAGAGGTCACCGACACCAGTAACCTCTACATTATCAAACAGGAAACCAGACTCAACAGCCACCTGGAGGGTGGCCTTCTATTTCTTCATTGGACTGGTCTTCATTGGGCTGCCTGCCTGCCTTAGCTGTCAGATTGGGAGGCCTTCAGATACCCAAGCAGACTTGTCTGACACCTGTGACCCTGGCATGGTCCAGCCCACCCTGCCCATTTGTTGCCTGTTGCTGCAGGACGGTAAGGAAAGCATCCCAGGCTGTTGCCAGCACACTTGAAGTGCCAGTTCTTCCCCTTATCTAGCCTAAGGAAGCCTTGCTGCAGGGAAAGGCTCTAGGTCTGTGGGCAGGGAAATGTGGTCTGTAAGGGAGGGAGGGAGGGAGCACCTGCCTGCAGACAGGCACAGTTCTGTGAGCTAGTGTCCCTAGCAATCTTGTGTAAGATTTTAAAGGTGATCCAGAGATTGGGGACGTCGTGGCTCAAGTGGTAGCCAAGGGCAAGTGCAAGGTCCTGAGTTCAAACCCCGTCCCACCAAAAAAAAGGCTCAGTAGAGGCAAAGAGAGGTAAAACCATTTGCCCATATGCCTGAGCCAGGATTGCCTGACACCAAAGTCTTGGCCTCTCAAGTCGTAAAATGTTGGTAACAAGGCACTTTGAGAGGCAAGGTCTCTCTGAACCTCCTATCTCTGAGCCTCCTTCCTGCTGCCTGGAAACACAGCAGCAAGATCTTAGCCAGGGCAACAGAGAGGAAAAAGTGTCAGGGCTGGGCTGGGACCCAGCACTCCTGGATGCTGAGGTCTGGAATTATGAGTGTCCTGGGGTAGTGGATACTATGTCTCTTAAGTGCAGAGTGACAAGGGCTGGCTGAGGGGACGGCATGAATGACCACAGATTCAGAGATCACACACCCACTGTTAATCCTTCACAGACCCCTGGCTGGGTCCCACCAGTGTGTCGCTGCCCCCACTAGCCAGTTCCTCCGACAGGGCACCCAAGGCATCCCAAGCATTTCCAGGAGAGGCTCCCCATCTCCCTACCAAGAAACCAACGCACGCCCTCCCCAGTACAGGGCAGACTGTAGGTGCCACGATCCCGGGACCCACCCAGCCCCTGAAGTCGCACTCCGCAGTGTCTGCGGGCGGGGCCGTGTCGTGACGTCACGGCCCCGAGCCAATGAGGCCGCGCGGCTCCGCGGCTCTATTGCGCAACACAGAGAACCCAGAACTTGAAAGGATTCCCCGGGCTCGGTCAGCGCCCGCCAGGCTCCCGCGGGCCTGCGCTCTGGGCTTCCGCCCCCACGCTGGCCTCCGCTCCTGGTGCGCCAAAGGGTCCCGCAGGACCCGGCCCCGCCGCCGCTCAGGGCAGGGCGGAGCGCGCCGTGTCCTCCCTCGGCCCCCCCCACTCCTGCGGTCTCGGTCCCCCGGAGCTGGGATCACCCCTCCCTACTCCTAATGGGGTGCCCAACCCCGAGGGCGCGTCCAAGAGCGATGGCCGAGGGAGCCGGATGCTGGCAGGACTGCGCCCTCTCCCTCCCTTCCGCACCCTTAGGATTGAGCTGGGAAAGGGCGGGTCAAGGACCCCCAAAGTGGCCACCCTGTTCCCTGCGAGCCCCTGGGGGTGGCGCTGTAAGGCCTGGGAGCGGGAGAACCGAGGGAGGGGCTGGCTCCCGGGAAGTTACCCCGAAGGTCCCCAAGTTGGGCGGCGGGGGGGAGGGGTTCAGCCCTAAGCCTCTTGGATGGACCCTGCAACGGACGGAGCGTCCACAGTCCCCTCCCCGCCTAGCCCTCCCGCCGGGGTTTTCCCGCCCGGCCGCCCCCGGGCCAGGGCGGCGGCGCTCACCCTGCATTCGGGCGCCCGGGGCTCCGGCTCGCTGCTCTCGCCTCGGGCTCCAGCTGCGGTTCCCGCGCCCTCGGGCCGAGCGCGGGCGGCCGGGGACCGCGGGGGTGGCTGGCGGCGGAGCGCCCCGCGGGCCAGGGCATTCTGGCGGCGGCTACCGATGGCCAGAGCGCTGCGCGGCGCTCCGCTCCGCTCGGCCCCGCCGCCCCTCCTCTCGGCGCCGCCTCCGCCGCGGCCGCGCTCGCCTCCCGCTGCTCGGCTGGCGGCGCTCGGGCGGCCGGGGGTGGGGGGCGGGCCAGGGCGCATGCCTCCACCCGGGCCTCCGCACCGCCCCTCGGCCCGCCCCGTCCCGCCCCGCCGGCTCGGGGGCGCGGCCGGCTGCTAGTCAGTGTGTCCGTCCGCGATCGACCCCTTTTCGCACCTCTTACTCCCCCAGCGTGGTTGATGCCTCTTGGGGTTAGCGACGCCTCCGCCCCCATCGCTCAAGTCCTGGGTTAGTCCACACTCCCGATGCCGCCTCCAAGGCGCCTGGGAAGACTGGGGACGGGGAAGCGTTTGTGGCTCGTTTGCCAGAGGGCGCAGGGACAAGATTGAACAGTGAGAACACCGGGCTGGACAAGTGGGGTCAGGGAGGCCTTTCCCGGAAGAAGCCACGGCTAAGGTGAGGACTGGCGGTTTCTAGGAATTGGGAGTTGCCAGGTCAGGAGCTGGAGCAGCAAGAAGCAAGGTTTGGCCAGCTGAGGATCCCAACTTATCCCTGGGCCTTGGGAGTAGTGCATGGGTTCCTGGGCTGCTGGTGGCTGTCCTCCTCTATCTCAGAAACGACCTCTTTGAAACTCTGGCCCCAGAGCTTTCTCCCCTCCATCCCTTCCTCTGGAGGGGGCGTGGCCTCCAGCGGGGCACAGGCTGTCAGGCATAGACTGACAGCTTCAGCTAGTCCCATCCACAGGGAAGCTATCCTGTGTCTTGATGGAGACCTCTGGACACCTCCCATACAGTTGAGGCTGGTCTAACAATAGCACAAGGCCTCTGGGGCCTCTCAGGGCTGCCTGGCATTGTACTGTCCTTCCTGGGCAGTAAGGAAGCTTCCCCTGGATGGGTACCCCTGTGCCTGTAGGAAGGGGGACACCTAGTGAAGATGGGACCCAAACTGACTTCGGCCCAAACAGTTGCCTGGCACATGCCTGGGCCTGGTGAAGTTGCCCAGCTCCTGAGTGTCTGGCTTCTGCATCTCATGAATGGTCCCCACAAGCCAGGTCCCAGAGTGAGCAGCTTTTGGAGGCCCAGGGTGGGCTTTAGGGTCAGTCCTGTGAAGCAGAAGCAAAGGTCTTTGTAGAGAAAGGCTTCACAACACATTCAGAGCTGGGAATGAGCCCAGGTCATGATCCTCCACTCCTCTGCCCTCTGGATGTCCAGGGCCTTCAGTGTCCCCAGTGAGCTCTCTGTGAACTGGTCACCTCCCCACCCAAGGGTCCCAGGTAATAAACAGATTGTCAGGGTGGCTGTAATCAAGTGGGTTTTTTTTTGTGTGTGCTAGGCACTGAATCATTGAACCCAGGGTCTCAAGCATGCTAAGTGCCCTCCACCACGGAGCTACAACCACAGCCCCAAGTTGGTACTTCTAAACTGTCTTCTGCTGCCCTGTGTACAAAGGACAGCCTGCCCTAGACCTGTGGCACCAGTCTCTCCACCAGACATCTTGCTCAATGCTGCCTATGTTAGTGGGTCTGCCCCACCTTAGCTGGCTCTGGGGTAGGCTGCAGATGGGCCTCTGATGACTGCCCTGGGGGACTGGCTTATTCCAAGCTGTATTGTGGCCTGGTGCTTCATACACCTGGACAGTGGGTTTTAGGTATCTGGCTTGCCCAAAGCCACATGGATGAGTAGTCAAGGCAGGACTGAACTAGGGAGTTGATGCCAAGGCCTACCGTTTTATGAAGGACTGACTTGTTTGGGCTATCTGGGACAGAGTTTTCTGTTGGCTCACAAGAGTGGCCTCCTCAGTGCTCTGGCATGGGTCAGGGTGGAGTTCAGGGGCCTAGGCTGCCTGAGGCCAGTTTTACAGACTGCCAAGTGTAGGGTGGGGTTGCTGGGGCTTCACAGCAGAGCTCGTTCCTTCCCCCTGCTCCTAGGCAGGAAACAGCCCCGTCTGCTGGGACTGGGGCCTGAGACAGATTCCAAAACTCTTGGCGGGTTTTTCTGCACATCTGGAGCAGATCTCCAAGGGCTGGAGGGAACCTTGTGCAAGGCTGCAGTTACTGAGCCAGTGTCCTCTGGGTGGTGGGACATCTGTTTGGGCTTTAGGGACATGGCCTCTGGGTGTGCCTGGATATAGGGTGCGGCCCTGGCCCCTGCAGAGGCTGTGGTGGTTTATCTTCCCTTCAGGCAGCTGAAGCAGATGCACACACCAAACCCTGACCCACACAGATGCTCTCACACCTGATAAAGGAACACTCAAGCACGTGTGCAGCTTCACATGGTGCACACACTTCATACAACAGATGCACGTGCACACCACACACATGAACACGCTGTAAGATATAGCAACACAGATGTGTGCACTCTTCACACTACATCTGTACATACACACTGCTAGACACAGCAACAGATGTGTGTGCACACATCTTCACACCATACACATATGCACAGTAAAACAGGTGAGCATGCACATAGCCGCACACCACAGGCACATTTGCAGTGATAACCTCATGCTGACCCCACTGACACACACTGCCTCAGACCCACCCTTGCTTCCCAAGCCATCCCAGTGCCCCCCACCCAAGTGGCTGGGAGTCTGCATGTCAGTACAGGGATCCTGGGCACCAGCTGGGAGACTCCTTCAGCAGATGCAGGGGCACCTGGGCAGTTTGCATGAGGGACTAGGCCAGGCACTTTCCCCATGGGAGCATGGTGGGCGCATGGCTGTTCTCTACGGATCACCAACCTGGGTCTTCAAGTGCGGAGAGGGGCAAGGCTCCTCTGTTAGGTTCAGAGCTAGCATCCTGCATAAGCCAGACAACAGGGAAGTGGGGTCCTGGACTCCCACTAGGCAGCATGGCCAGAGTCCCCCCTGGCCAGGTCCAGGAGGGAAACAGTGAGTTTCAGGAATAGAAGGCTAAGACTGTACACAGCAGCCCCAGCCCCTACCCCCAGTGCCCAGTGGGAGCAGGCCCCCAGACAAACGACCACCAAGGCTTGGCAGGTCCAGCCAAACAGCAGCTTTATTAGTGGTGCTGGATTCTTTCCATACCTTACAGTGAGCTCGGAAGTTTCCCTAGGGTGTCCATAGAACACCCCCTGGTGTTTGGGACAATACTGGGTAGCACTTTTACTGGAAGGATATAAATAAAGCTTTGGTGCACAAGTTTTTGGGACAGGATGTAGGTTAACACTGCTACACAGATACTTTACACAACACCGCTCTCAATGGGAATAGGGGTTTTGGCCAAGGGGTAACTAAGTGACGGGGACATGGGACCATCACCACAGTTGCGCAGGCCCCAGTGGCAGGAGGAGGGTGTCTAGGGCTGAGGTTCCATGTGGCCCTGTCGCTTCGCCTTCATCTGCAGGTACCGCCCTTTGCCTTCCTCAAAGCGTTTCTTCTCATCCTCGGTTTCGGGCTGTGGACCAAAGAAAGAAAAAGGCACATTGGAGAGGGCACTGCAGAACCCATGAGGCAGGCCAGTGATCTGGCCCTGGGACCCTGTCCCTCACAGAGGCATCTGCCCCGACCTGTGTCTGCACTGTCTCAGGAAGGTGCTAAAGACCCCACTTCACATTCCTGGGGCTTCTGTGTGCCAGGCATGGGCATGCCTGTCTGCTGGACCCTATGGATACCCCCCACCACCTTTACAGTAGGCAGAATTCCAAGCCCAGTGTCCCTTTGGTAATGAACTTCAGTTGAAAATGCACTGGACAATGAAATGTGGGAAGGCAGGCTGATGCTATAATGAGTGCCAGTGGAGAAAGAAAGAGGGGCCCTGTCTGAGACCCTGCCTTTGCTCTGTCCCCAGGGAACAGAAGATGCCAACACTCTTTACCCCAAAGAGAACGGTAGGGATGCTATGCTGCCTGTGAGCTTGAGAAAGCTGCTCCTCTGCATGAGAACAATGACTGTCATCCTGCCTGGAACAGGCAGGTGTTAAGTGTCACCTTGAACCCAAGGCTCTCTTAATGTTGCCTCCTTCCTCTAAGCAACTTAAGAAGCTGGACCCACACACTCAGCAACACAGCCAACTGTCCAGTAGAATTTGGCCAAAGGTGGGGTATTGCTTCGGATGGTCATTGGAGTGTGACTGCTGGCCTGTGGGGATGATGGTGGGCCTGTTCACTTCAGGAGTGGCCTGGCCTGGCCAAGAATCCCTAGGAAGATGCACAGCGGCAGCATTAAGTGTCACCCGAGGCCCCAGGTGTCCTGCTGCAAAGGTTTAATGCGCTGTGCTGATTCCTCTGGGTCGTTTCCTTGCGACATTTTGAGGGTGTGTGAAAGCCACAGAAATGGGGCAGTTGTCCTTCACCCACAACGACACCAAGCCCAGCAACTATTTTTAGGCCTACGTGTTTTACAGACAAACGGTATATTGGCAAAAGAGAACCAGCAGCCAGGGGATGTAATGTCAAGTCACACTAAATATTTCCTCCCCCCAGCCTTCTCCAAAACTGCTCGCTAAATGTCACCAGGTGTAAACTGTCAAGGCCTGCCAGCTCAGAGTCAGTAGGATGCAAGGGTATTTAAAGACACAGGACCGTGCTCCCACTGGGGTTCTAGGTCCTGTTTGAAGAGCCTTTGGCGCACACATGAAAACAGTGACTTTTCCAAGTCACTTCATTGAGAAGCCCCTGCTGTTCTGCTTTCATCTCTGGCGGACTTAAAAAAAAACTTGAGGCTATACAATTTGACTTGAAATAGTCAAGGAAAGTGAAAAGTTTTCTCAGCTTTGGAAACAGTTCTTTCCCTTTTTTTTGGTGATACTCAAGGCTCGCACTTGCTGGGCAGTTGCTCTGCCCCTTGAACCATACCTCCAGCCCAAAAACCAGCTCTAAGGGGTAGGACCTGTGTTTCCTTGGGGCTACAAGGCTTGGCTGATGAGCTAGGGCAGGACCCCTCACGCATCCAGATGCTTGTGAACCACTGGGATCTTGTGGATGCAGACGCCGGCTCACAGGGGTCTAGACTGGGCTGAGACTCATTTCTAACAAGTTCCCAAGCAATGTGATATTGCTGGGCCTGTCCCTCCCCATCCATTTCTGAAGTGGTCAAAAATGCCAGGTCAAGGCACCAGGCTGGTGTAGCAGGGCCTCTCTGCCCTCATGGAGTTTGCTTGGTGTAGAGGAGTAAAAACCTGAAACTCCTGTCCATACTGCAGAGGTTCACAGCCTGGGGTCCTTCCTACCTTTTCCTCTGGGACAGAACGAGTACTGTGGAGTATGTACAGAACCAGGAAAAGGGGTGTAAAGGCCTGGTAGGGTTGAGTGCTGAGTTTTGCTACCATGGGGGCAGCTGTGGAAGCAGAGGACTGCATGAGGTTGGGAAGAGTTGGGTGAAAGGGAGTGGGATGGACCACGTACGCAGGTTCCTTCCAGTCTAAAAGCCTGGCCTCTTTCTGCTGGGGGCCATCCCTTTACCTGGGTAGCATTTGCCCTCTGGGAAGAAGAAAGAAGGCAAGAGACTTGGCAATGAGGACATCTTCAAAAGCAAGTGTGTGTGAGTCTGGCCTGCAAAAGGCAGGACTGAGGGGACCTATGGCCAGGGCCATAGGAGGAAGATGGGCCTAGGGCTGGGTCTCTGCAAGGTAAGGGCCTGTCCAGGGCCACTCCCTGGAGGCCTCACTGAGAACACACAGCCCTCATCTTTCAGGCACATGTTGAAACTCTTGAGGCCATGATATGTATGGAACTGCTTCAAAACAAGCTAGGCGGAGGAGGTAGACAGGGTGGTGGAAGTCCAGACTGGTCCCAGGCTGGTAAGTGCATAGGAATCCTTCTTTTGTGCATATATTTGAACTTCTCTATAGTTAGAAAGAGTCAACCCATGGAGCAGCTGCAAATCTAGAAAACCAGCTCATACTCCCCCCCAGGTACAAATGACCTCAAACACCCCCAGGGGCAGATGTCCAGTGCTCTGTGGGTACGCAGGCCACACTTCAGGACTGGCTGTTAACACATGGCATGTCTTCCTCCCCAGATGTGCTAAGAGCACACTCAGGACAATATCTGAAATATTCTGACAGAGTCTGAAGGTATGCACTGGGAACCCAGGACCCATGAGGATCCAGCACAGCCCTCACAGGTGGTGACAGCAGCAACCTATCTCTCTCTTAATGAGCTCATGCCCAGGCTAGCCACAAGCAGCAGATACGCAAAGCACCACTGTACTTTCCCTGGTTTCCAGACAAGATCCTAACCATCCCTTACCCCCACAAGGACAGAGGATAATGTAGCGGTAAACTTGGAGTAGGGACGAGGTGATAAGGGGAAGGTCTCTGGGTAACCTGCCTTGATCAAGTCCCCACGCATACCAGGAACCCATCCAAGCACTGCAAGGTCTTCATAACCACCCTGCAAAAAAGCATCATAGTTATCGATTGTCCCTTTCAGAGACAAGGAATTGAAGCACAGAAAGGTTGCATAACAGCAACAAAGGAGCCTCCATTTACACCCAGCACTGCAGCTGCCTTCCAGGTCATTCTATGCCAAGGAGCTTTTAGAAAAGGTAGGGCTCACCAGCAGGAAGAACAGAAGACAGCAAACCTCCAGAGGCTCCATGGCAAATGGAGAGCAGGTCTGAAGCCCACCTGGACCCCCTGCTCCCTGGACACCATAAAGGAAATAAGGCTAGGGAGTAGACAGCCACCTGGGTGAAGACATCCTGTACACTGGTGCCAGTCTACCTGGAGCCCTGGGCTGAGCACATTCCTGTCCCAGGTCCTCTGCTCCCAACTCTGAGCCACACACCTTCAGAGAAATGCTGAGCTCTCGTGGAGAGGCACCAAGCCATGTGCAGGGACATGCCTGGCCTGGATGCCAATATATGTGGTCCCAGTGAGCAGTTGAGTGGGACATGTGTGGCCAGATTTACCTTGGCACTTTGAATGCCAGGTCTCCAAAATTCCCCAAGACAGCAGGAATGAGATGCACAGCATGGGGAAGCCAGGCTCTAGGTGTCACCCTGTAACTTCTTCCCTAAGCACAAGGTACTCTCCTTTGGGTCAATAAAGTGTGGGGCCAAGGGGCAGAGCGAGCAGGAACATTCATGTGGGAGCACTGGCATCTAAACCAGGGGGTAATACAAGGCAAGGGAGTTGGGTGAAGTGCCTGGGCACAAAGCCCAGGGAAGCTTGGTGTCTTGTACATTCAGTCAGATCTTGCTCACCTCCACGTGCCCATGACCTTTATATGAAGCTGTGCCAATGCAGCCTAGTGGAGCTTGTCCTTCATCAGACCTGAGGATGCCGTCACATAATTCTGCATGGTGGAAGCTTCTACAGCCTTAGTAGCCAACAGGCCACTAAGAGTTCCACAACATGAAGTCAAAGGCTCGGGTCACCTGTTGTTAGGTCAGTCACAGTGGGATCCAAGGAGGACACAGGCCAAAGTGTAGCAAATTCTAGCGGTCAACATGGGGCAGAGGGTAAAGCCAGTACCCAGCACTGTACCTCAAGGGTGCTCTGAGGCATCTCTAGTGCTTAATATTAGCAGCAAACTCATCACCACAATCTGCCCTCAGCCAAAATGAATGTCTCCTGATGATGGATGAGCAGAGAGGTCGGTCAGGAGAGCGTCGCCAAGACTCCAAGAGCCTGGGAGGAAGGAGCTGGCTGACAGCCTCATTGCTCTTCTCCCATCTCTGGGGAGAGCAGCATGTGCTGTATGTATCAGGCTCTGAAACAGACCAGGCAGGCCTTCAAGCCATATTCTGCCTTGTTAGCCTCACTACATGGAGATGCCTTGTGAGCACTACCATGCCAAGATGACGACAGCCCTTATCCTTTGGTTCCCTGGGTGTGGGAAGGTGTCCAGCGAGGGAAGAAGCAGCTAATGTCCCTTACTGGCCACCCAGGGGCAAACAGAGCAGAGGGAGGCAGGGCTGTGTCTACTTCACATGGGTCCCTGGCCCAGGAGCTGAAAGGCATTCTGCCTCCCAAGGCCATGAGCTCTGGTAAAGAGCTTTCCTACCGAAGTGACAAAAGGGGCCACCATTCTCTGCTGGGTGTGGAGCTGGCAGAGACAGATGATTCTCCATACATGGCTCCCACCCACAACACAGCTGCCATCTCCTGGAAGCCTGACCCCCTCCACAGGCAAAGTAAATAAACACAAAGGGCTAGCTGCTGCTGCCTCTCATGGAGGGTGGGGTGGTGGGAAGGAAGAAGGTGTTCCACAGGAAAAGCCTGAGGCTGGTGGCCTTGGGGGTTCCCTGTAAATATGCCAGAGAGAAACCAATGAGGTAAGGGGGACTGCCCCAGCTTGGGGCACGGTGACTGCGAATCAAGGGCGTCAATGGTGGAAGGGATGGGGGAGGCTGGCGAGGGGCATGACTGGGTCACACAGATCTGGCTGGGAGGCCTCAAGTGCACTGCTCTCACCTTCCTAGAGCCAGGTTCTCTCACCATGAAACAGG